CAAGCTAATGGCCGTTTAAAGTTTGTTTAACAAATGATTAATTACCTTGGCCTTTAGGCTAAATTTCGAACAATCAACGTAGGACTTAGCGAAGCAAAAAGATGTTATAAATTATTCGTTACCAAGCTCTCCAAAAAATAAACAACTGATTCAATTTTTCTATCTTGTCGCGTCATCGTGTCGCTCAAGTTTTAAGTTTATTGTTGTACCGCTGTGGGATATTATCAGTTAAACAGAAGCTTAGCTTCTGTGTGAGAGACGTAAGGAAAGACTTAATTGCGACCCTGTGACATGGTTGGTGATAGTAAACAATAGACCTTGGGATTGACAAAAAATGCATTGGTCAGAAAATGGGTTGAAATGACAGATATTATCTTTAATTGGCATACCTCTTGCAAGGTTTGTAAATGAGCCAAAAGCTGCACAGAAGAGGTCTTTTTAGTTTTATTTGTTCAGGTTGGCTAAGCCTAATAAACTAAACTCCCACCAGTGTTCAAATCACTGGATTCTTTTCATTGTTATAACAGCGCGCGTGACAGTGTGTTTCTAGACCCCCAAATGACACCCGCTAGAGGAAGTGAACGAAAGATAGTTGAATCAAATATAACTAAGAGCTATTTGCTCGGACAATTGGGCGCCTATAGCGATCATAGTTCCTTAAATAAAGTGATTTACAAGTCACTTTCAATGAAAGAAGTTATTGTTTTGTTAGGGCTGTTTACTCAAAACAAGACCGCCCTGTATTGGCCTTCGCAGTTTAGTGACAGTGTAGTGAAGCGTAAAACACTCGTGATTTTCCGCAACAACAAGTGAGGCACATAAAAGACACACTACATCCTTCCAGCGTTCTCAAAACTTATGGTAGTTGCACTATATGGAACTGCTAAGAAAACTTGATGTTTCTTTGTAAAAAGGTTGCAATAAGTATTTGAAACACAACACACCTCGCCTATTCCGCAAATAACCTTACAATGATGCGTGGCCGTGGGAAAAGTCAGTGATTTCATTACGATATGCGAGGGAGTCGTATTAAAAGAAATGAACCAAGTGGCAATAAGTTCCGTTGTAAAGAAAGTTGCAACAAGTATTTGAAACATGAGACACCTGCACTGCAAAATAAAGTCACATGCGAGGCGTGGGAAAAGTCATTTAATTACGATTTGCGAGGGAGGCGTATTAAAAGAAACAAAACAAATGCTAAATGGATTCGAAAGTAAGCTATTGAAAAGTGGTGCGTCACCGATGAGACGGTACAAAAAATAAAGTTACATTTAGGACCAGAGAAGCAGATAGTTTCTCAGAATCATTCTCACTGAAATCGTGTTTTTTAAACTTGATGAATGTTTTTTGTCATCAGGGTCAATTACTGTCTAGGCCTGATTCATATTAAAATGACTGACAGCCATGAAATGCTGTCTGTGAGGAGGGCGGGGGCCAAGGGGTGCATGGGAGCCCGGGAGAATAGGGAGCGGGAGGATTAAGCGAGGAAAGCGGAAGTTCTAAGAGGGCGGGAAGCGGGAGAGAAATGCAAAACACTAATTTTTGTTTGAAAACAAGAACCCAAGATATTGTTTTACTAGTGTTTAGTGTCTTCTGAGACTTCTGAGCAAACAAGCAACGAAAATTCACGCTTGGGCTAAAACACAGGCTTACTTTCGGTGAAATTTCGAATCCTTTACAGTGGTTACGTCATAGGTCATAAACTGTCTGGCGGCATTGGTGGACTTGCGTCGCATAATCCGTCAGAAGGGGTGCGATTAAGGCTGAGTATGTAACTTGAGGTTCATAAGTATATCAAACCTATGTTCTCTAAGGCCGTGTAAAAACAAAGGAAACGCAAGGAATTGCTCAGCTAAATGACTAGGACGTGTTTTGAGTCTCCTTATTTACAGGGGACGAGAGCGGGACGGAAAAGGCCAGGAGTCGTAAGATTCTGAGCCCCCGGCTCCCGTCCCCTCACTCTGAGAGCAGTGGTATAATATCTCGATATTTAGATCATAAAAAAAATTCTGTTGCTTCAATAGTCTCAGTATGCTGAACTCCTTGAAGTATTTAAAAATTTTTCAATCATCTGTCATGATTAACCGAAGAAATTTTCTTCCACATATTTAGGAGTTCCAAGACAAAGCGGATTCGGCTTGTAGAAACCGCACTAGTTTAGAATATGCCAATTTCTTTTTGAAATCCTAAGACTAGACTACTTACTATGTGTCTATATACATTTGTTTGAATTTTAGTTCCAAGAATTTAGTAGTATTAGCTGCTGCAATGAGCTGAAGCTGGATGAGCTGGACACTAGTTTCAACTGTCCGCGCTATGGAAAACAACAACGCAAAATGACAAAATTCTATGTTAAGTGTGTTTCCTGTAGACTCATAAGTCACCAAAACTGTAAATGTTCTATGCTTCCGCTGATTTGGACGAGAGCCAAACTAAACTGAGATAGTCTCTTCCAGACATTCAGTAAGTTGGGACGTAGGCATCGTGAAAAACGGCGAGCAAACGCTTCTCCCCCCCCCTTGTTTTTTTTTTCTTTCTGTTTTTCGATCGCATATCATCGTGTTAGACTCGTAGTCGAGAAGAGTATTGCTACTTTATGCAGGTGGATGCTCCACAGGTTTTCTTCAGCAGACCAGAANGAGGGCCTTAGTTGGGGCGCAGCGCAAAAAAACGGCGGGAAATCATAGGGGAGAAACGCGGCGAGAGAAAAGAACTTCTCCCATCTTTTTTTTCGCTCGCTGTTTTTCGCGCTGCGCCCCAACTAACTGAACGCCTGGAAGAGGCTAAAACTGATACGGCTTCGCTTTCGTTCTTTCTTCTCTCGATCTCAGTCTATGGCTCAGAAAAAGGTCACCTTTCGCAGTCTGTTGATTAAACTAATATAATATTTTAGCGTTTAAATGCTGTCCGATCGCTATGTAGGGTTGGATCGGCGATTGCGTAAACGTTACATACGAACTTATCGCATTTTCATAGTCTTCTACTGTTTTGTAACTTTTGCAATTTGAGCGCTTCTAACATGATCTCTGAAAGATGAAAGCAAGGAACGAAATTCCTAAAACTCTACGTATATTCGACTGATACAGATAAATTTCTGGAAGTCTGTATGAGAATTATGCACCTGACTTTAAATTATAATCTCGTGATCATACTTACCGGTCGTTTTCTTTTCTCTCGTCCAGAAGTTTAAATGCTCAAAACTGGTTTATTTCCGTCTTTCTTTTGCAAATTTCCAACCTGAATTTTCTCCATACGAACTACCTTTTGATGGTGAGGAATTTTGTTGCGTGATTTCAACTAATTGTTCTCTTTTTTTTTGCGTGCAGATAACTTATTATTCTTCATCTGTTGTCGAGACTTGTGGGTTTAAAAGGTGACTGTCAGGCAGACATAGCGACACTGCTCTTCGAAGTGCTTCTAATTTTGTACATAAATTTGCGTGATAGCAGCAGGTGTTTACCAATTTGCGTGCAGAAATTTGAAAAAATCCTAGAAATTTGGCATCCATTGTCGAGAGGCGTGGAAAACAGCCTTGGGGCAGGCTTTGATTACCAGATCAGGAGACTGACTAATATTGTTTAATCCGATCCATTGTCTGTTTATTTCCATGTCGTTGAACAAGCCCCAGTGGATACTCCCTCAACGGAGCTATGCCACGGTTTCCACATCTTGAAAAGTTAAACCTAAATGTTTCAAGTTCGTCGTTTGCTATCCGTGTCAATCTTCTCCATCCTTAACCATCCTTGTTCATTTACAATGGAACCCCGCCTTACGACCACCCTGTAATACGAGCACCTCGTTATTACAGCCACTTTATTCTGACCTAAAAAAAGCTCAGTCAGTCATTTTCTTATTTAAAAAACCCCTTTAATACAACCACCCCGTTAATGCGACCAATTTTCCATGGCCCGAAGGTGGTCGTATTAACGGGGTTCCACTGTATAGCTTATTATTATCTCTTCGGTGTTTCTCCATCTTAGCAAGGTGCTATTTTCAGGTTTGTTCAATTTAAAGGTAATTCTGTACGCGCCCAAAATAACTCATAATATCGAGACTGAGCTCCTGCAAAACTGCATTCAATTTCGGAGTGCTCACGGCCGCTGCTGCCGAGATTCCGAGAATCGTTTGACACGGGCAGACAGCAGACACCCCTTAAAACGTGCACATAAACACGTTGAACCCACACTTAACAGAATGTGCGTAATTGGGCAGCGCTTTATAAAGTGATTGTCACAATGCGTATATATTTTTGGGTCTAATTTCTGACCTCTCTCTCAGGTGGAAAAAGACTGACTGAGGGCGCGAAAGTTACTTCTGATTACTCCGGCTGGTCATCCCTCCACGGTGAAAAAAATGGATCTCTCCTTCCCTTCACTCACTCACGTAAGCGACGAAACGAGATGGAAAAGTTTTAAATTGAACTCCTCCGGCATCAAGTTTTTGTTGTTTGAGTAAAAACATTTTTTCAAAACTTCGAACGAACTTACTTGTATAGACTGCACAAATTGGTTGCGTTTTACTTCCCGAGATAATCGATCAGGAAATTCATGCAGACACGGTCTGAACTGGTACAATATACCGTCATTTTAGAGGTTATTCTTCATCTTCGAGGGTATAACGGGTTTTGTTACTCGCTTCTTTTTCCCGCTATTGAGGTTTCCGAAACACCCGGGCGAGAGGGGGTACTCACTTATATGGGCTTTATAGGTATGTGCGGTCCTAGAGGGTAGGGTTTTTCAGTCGTTTTGGTCATAGATAGGGTTTCAATTTTGGCCATTTTGGTCTTAATAGGGTATGGTTTTAGCACTCTAGTCTTGAATTGAGTATGTTTCTTAGAAGAAGCTACTTTTTCATCATTATCAATAAGACCGTCTACAAAAACCCTTAATAACTTAGCTACAAAGGTCATAAATAGGGTACCGAATTTTTGGCCAGGTCATAAATAGGGTAGCAAAAATCGCAGATTTTGGTCATAAATAGGGTAATGGTTTTGGGAAGTGGGCCGCACACCCCTACCCAACTTTTCTGGGAGTACCCGGCCCCCGGGCCGAAACAACAGTCAAAAGATCATTTTGGCCCCTTAAAACTTACAAGGCCGCGCACCAGATAGTTCATAGAGAGTAAAAATCAAAGCGAAAACCGAGCGAGCGAAGGAAAGTTCCTTCGTGGACGTGTCTTTCTGTAGCCAGTTCATTGTACAACAAACGACAAAAATTAGTTGCGTCTATAGGCGCTTTTTGAGTCTACCATATGATTTTGGACTTGGACGCGGAGAAGAACCTGGGGACGAGGGTGTCTCTCTCTCAGTGGGGGCAGAGCCAAAATGTCACACACCTCAGTAGACTGTGACGTTTTTCTTCCACTGGAGGTTTCCGCTTTGAAATGAACCTTGATTTTTCGAGAATGTGCTTGGTTCGTAGCCAATGCTGAAGGATTTGATTCTCAAAGCCCAGGTAAAAGTGCTTTGCACCTTGAAAAGTTTATTTATTTACTGCACATGGGGTCAAGGTGGGATTCATCACGATTCTGTGTGGAAGTGGTTCAATTCAATTCTTCAATCACCTAACAGATTGTTTTAAATTTCAATTTTATACTTTACTTTATTTTTAAATTTTAAACCGGTTCTTGCGATATAAATGATTAGGGAATCTGTAGAAAAGCAAAAAGTCTACCCTTGTTCATAAATTAATCAAACAGTGTTCGATTTGTTCCGACCGTCACTCAATGTTTGAATCAACCTCAAATTGTCTTCAGGGAAAAAGCGCAATTTTTCACTTGACCTAACTATCCCAGCAAGCTCAGAATATAATGAATCGGATCACTGTTTTGCATTTCGATGAATAAACGTTGGTAGTGAACCACGATGCGTGTATAGGCATGTGTACAATCTGGTTCAACTGGTATTGGGATTTGTGCAAGCTCATCTCAAACCGTGGGTCCAGATTGAATGAGGTTGCGCAATTGAGAATTTATGTTGCGTAGGATCAATGGATCATGAACATTCTAACGGGCAAGACTGATTAAGGGACACAAGATTCACCGTCCAGCATTGCCTGCAGTGGGGAGCAATTTATATTGCTTTTATTCATGTGTACAAACAAGTACAAATGAATCACACGCGATCTTTGAAACTCTTGTGCTTTTGTCTCAGACCTAACCCAAAACATTTGTTATTTGTGGTTCAAGTTGAGAGATTTTCCCACTTTATATTGTGTCCGATCTATTGGTTTACTCTTTGCAATGGTTCATGTAAACAAATTTTATCTTCATGGCAAAAATGCATTTTTACGTGACCGACAATTTTAAAGCGGAAGTTATTCCCAGCCTGATTCAGTCATTACGCAATGCTTCTCAGGAACGAAACCTATTAATATTTGTTTCCTGAATTTCTGTGAAAGGACAAAATATTAATGACTGTGTTTTCACGTGTGTCTGGGCTTTTTTGTTGGACAGAGCAGTAACTTATTTACAACAAAAGACGTTTTCACTGAAAATCCGTTCAGTATAACACGGGTATCGTGACATCGCGCAGCTAGCGTGACATGACACAGTGAGACAAACCGATCTGAGCAAAACACAGTTAGCGTGATATATCCGGGCTATTGGCCAATCGTGCAGTAATCATGTAAAAAGAGCTCGAGGCCAATATCCACACATATTGACTGACTTGCGGCAAGATAGCCATCTTGCCTGCCTGAGTAGAACGTATGAATCACATTCTTGTTCTTTATGGTCACAACAGGAAGTGGGAAAAGTAACAATCCCTCAGTCATTATTCTGAAGATGGCACATTGCTTGGAAATAACTGGCGATACACTCCATGGTGTTAAGCTCAACATTCTTCTTATCAATGGCGGAACAGAAGGGTTAAGACGCGTATTCGATGGTTTTGTTTCCCCGCCCAAACTGCAGCATTTTCTTGCAATTAAAGAACCCGAGATAAGGAAACTTTATCGAAAGAGAATCATGAACAAGTCTCAGTGGGACAAACTTTACCCGCCGGTGGGTACCCCCACGTCCAAGAATTTCGACATTTCTCTCCTTTATGTGTTGCTTCGAAGTGTTTGCGGATTGCCCGCTCCTGCCAGTGGCTGGGGTACCAAGCCTAGTCCTACGGATCATTCAGTAGGAGGCGCGGTAGAAATGATTCACTGGTACCGCAACAACTGCGGTCATGCTCTGATGGTCGAGGTTGATGAGTCTTCATTTGAGTCGTCGTGGAAGGAGATTTCTGAAGCAATAAAAGTACTTGGTGAGGACTCGTCTCGCGTCGAAAATCTTAAAGCGACACCACTATTCGCCAGCAGTTGTTTAGAGAGACTCGCAAAGTTTGATTTCTCCGGCGAAGTCAAGTTGCACGCGTCCAAGCATCATCCGGGAACTCGTGAATGGGTTTTCAGTCACGTGGAAAATTGGTTTCTAGATCGTAGCTCCGATTCACGTGTCTTAATCATTACAGGAAATGCTGGTATGGGCAAATCAGTTATCGCAGCAAAGCTCTGTAATAAAATGAAGGAACGCGAAGTTCTTGGTGGAGTACATTTTTGTCAACACAATAACCAGAGGCGTAGGAAACCAGACTTGATGCTGCAATCACTGGCCAGACAGTTGTGTGACACCCTTCCAGGATTCAAGGACATTCTAACAGGTCAGTTGACCTCACTGAACGCAACTTCGGTAGCTAACATGAACATAGAAGAACTGTTTACGCATCTCCTTCAAGAACCCACGAACATGATGGCTGATCCAGGCAAGAACATTCTTTTGGTTGTAGACGCTTTGGATGAATGCGAGTACGATGGAAGAAACGAGCTGCTAGATGTGATAATGTCACAGTTCCACAAGCTTCCATCTTGGATCAAGTTCATTGTGACAGGTCGACCAGAAAATGCAATGGCCGACAAACTTACCCATTTAAGACCATTCGTTCTTCGAGCTTCGGATGAGAACAACGAGAGAGATATTGAGCTGTTTTTCAAAGACAATTTAAGGACCCTCTTGCCCACCAGTGTCTTCGAAGAGAGTGTTGGTCGCTTTGTTAACCAAGCGGAAGGACTCATGCTGTATGCACACTATTTCATCCAGTTTGTAGAAGAACATAGAGACACCTTGGCGCCTGCCGATATAAATGGTATTTTCCCTCGTGGAATTGCATCTGTCTATGAACGGTACTTCGATCGTTTGCAGAAGGACCTTAAGGTTGAAGAAGCACCTTTCGCCGACTTCCTGTCGTCACTTGCTGCAGCGCGTTCTCCTTTACCAGTGACCATGGCATCCAGAATCCTTTGCTTGTGCCCTGAAACTGCAGGCAGTTCTCGCCAAATCCAAAAGATCTCTGGATCTATCTCAAGTCTGCTTCCCATTCGTGAGGATTGTATTGACGTATTTCACAAGTCCGTTGTTGACTGGTTATCTTCTCCTGAATTGTACGGTCATCACAGATTCACAGCTAAGCTAAAGCGAGGTAATGTCGTTTTAGCAAAAGAATGCGAAAAAACCTACAAGTCTATCAAGGGCCGAAACGATGTCCTCGCAGAGTACACACCGGAGGAAAAATACGCTCTTCAGCAGGGGACGTATCATTTCATTGCCTTTGCACAACTGGATGGAAGCCAAAAGAGTAAACTCTTTCGCTACGCTTGCAGCTTGGAATTACTCTATGCCAAACTACAGAGTAAAGCTTGTGATGTCTTCTCGATAATTGAAGAACTTCAAAGCATCAAGCCTGTTTTGAAGCTCCCAAAGGCAGACATGATGGAGCTGGATGACTGCATAACCTGCCTGAGACGACATCCATACGTGTTGATGGAAAACCCAAAGATGATTTTTCAGCTGTTAGTGAATGAAGCTGAATCTGTAGCAATGAGTCTTGAAGCTTGTGATGTGATGCAACAATCCAAATATCAACTGCCTCTGAGGCTAGAGGTGGTTAACAGGGCTCAATCCAAAGATCCAGTCATCACTAAATTTCGCTGTGAGACTAACGTGAATTGTTGTGATGTTTTAAAGAATGACGAGCACTCACTGCTGGTCTGTGGCTGTGCTAACGGTTTTATTCAAATGTTTTCCTTGGAAACAGGAAAGAAACTTTGGCGTTGCCAACGCGATGAGGTGGAAGTATGGACAAAAGAGGAGGAACGTTGCAACTACTGCGTCTTCGTCCCACAGCACGGCGTGGTCGTCCACGGTCGATTTGATGAAGCCGTAACATTGGATGGAAAACCCAAGAAACTCTTCTCAGACAATCAACATACTTTCATTGATTCCTGTATTTCGCAAGACAGAAGAAAGATGGTAACTAGGCAAACGCATTTGACAGCCGACCTGGTGATATGGGAACTCGATACAGGGAACTCATTGGCCCGTTTGGAACAACCTGCGAAGAGCATCACATGTTGCACATTTTCCGTTTGCGGGCAATTCGTCGTTTCTGGCAGCTTTGACCACGGAGTCACTGTATGGGACACGACTGTTTCCGAACACAGCTGCAAGCATAATACGTTTAACGACAAACTTCCTTTGATTGTCGATTGCCTCGCTGGTCTGGAAGAAAACTCACAGTTTGTGCTGGTCAACTCCTCCAAGAAACAGTCCTTGACAGTCTGCGAACTAGTCTCAGACGCATTTGAGAACGAGTCGACGACAATTGTTAACCTTGGATCGGCACATAAAAGTCTCGGCGTGTCTAGCCACGGAGCTTGTTTATACGTGTGTGGTGATTCTCATCAAATGCGTAGTTCCAGTCTACCATTCTCTGTTCGCATTATTCCAATTTCCAATACAACTAGATGGAAATATGCCAAAGAGGTCGACTCTGAGAGAGTGCTCCTAAGCGACTTGGACACTGTCTACATGTGCCACACTCTTGAGAACACACCTTCCACGGTGATGGTGGATCGCGGGGTACAAGCCGTATCCTTTTCACCCGACGGCAGTCGTGTGTACGTTTCGTCCAAGGTGGGACTGAGTATGTATGAAGCTTCAAGCGGACGATTCCTCTATTGTAACACGTCTTTTAGCCACGTGGACCTTTTTGCACTGTCCCCAAATGGAAAAACCATTTTGATTCAAACAAAAGATTACTTTCAGTTGTGGGATTCCAACCTTAAGCAGCAAGTCAAGACTCAAGAACATCCGATTACACCACAAAGTTTCTTCGGATATATCGATGAAAATCTGGTTTTATTTTTGTCCAGAACAGGAGTTATTCAGGTGTGGAACCTCAACGAATCAACTCTCAAGGAGACGAAGAACGCCAAGAGGTCTTTAATAGAATGCTGCGACGTCTTTCCCTTGCCACCAAACGATGGTAACGGCAGTGATTCATGTTACCGTCTGGTCTTCTGTGATCGCCACGGAGGTGTAACGTTACACGACACTAGCAAAGCGCGCGAAATCACGAGAAACGTTCCCAAGCAACAGATTGTCAAGTGCTGCAAATTCTCACTAGATGGTAGTTCCATAGCCACAGGGCACGTCGACGGAACATTTCAGATTTGGGACGCACGTCGTCTTGAATTAAAAAAACTTCTAACTTGCGGAGATGGTCTGGTCAAAGGCTGTGGTTATCTAGTTCAAGATCTTGGAGATGTGGTTGCATCCTTAAGTGTTTCTGGAACTTTAAAGGTCTGGGGTGCTTTCTCTCGACAGCTGCTTGGGTTTATGAACTTTGAGAGCAAACTCCGCGGAATTGCAACATCACCCGTTAATGCCCAGATCTGTGTGGCCCTAGAGGACAAAATCGTGATTGTCAACGTTCACAGACCCGAATTCGACTAAAGAAGGGTCTATGAATGGCCGGACCCAAAATTACGAAAGGATCCAGCGATTTAATGATTGCCAGGAATTCCAGCCAGAAGCATTCCTTGACTGTGAAATAACAGAGAGAACAAATTGAAAAGTGAATTTAGAATTTCCTTGAGGCTGAAGAACCTCGGATGTGTAGATTTAGGGATGATAATCTTTAACAAGTGAAGTTAAGCCCAACCTGCTCATATGTATAGACTTAGATTGCAGGAAGTCCACACTAACCCAAAGAGATCCTCGAGTGAAAAGCGACGAGGAGAGCGCGAAGTTTGGCCGCGCAGAAACTGGAGGACACGGGTTAAGGTCAAGCCTAGCCTCCCGTCCAGTCCTATCTATGAATCCTTTGAAGATTAGTAAGGAAAGCCAAACGTTTTACAAAGCTCGTCGCCACAGGACATCATGGTTTTTTTTTCGGGGGGGGGGGGGGGGGGTCAACATTTAATCTACATATCTTGCTATCCGTTTAAATAGCGTTTTTAAACCTGCAACAGTAAACATACGATTTAAGGGATTCGTGATTGAGTAGGTCTGTGTGAGACTAAAACGCTCNACCGAAATAGCTGCCAATGGATGCTCGGTGCACAAGACAATCTCGTTCCCCTGGTTAATCCAAGATGGCGAGAATAGTTTCTTGGATAAACCACTGGGAACAAAGTTGAAATACTAAGTACTAGGGACCCTGTCTTTAAAATCGGTTATACGACAGAAGTGCATTACAGGACTGTCGACTGTTGGTTTCAACTTGGACAATGATATATGGGTATCAGGGGTATCAGACATAAGCTGTTGTAATCTCGACTAATTTATTAATTTGAATCTTTTCAATACACTCTATTATATTTTTGCGTCTATTTTCGTTTGATTACTTATCTTTGTGGAGGGTTGTATAATACGTCTGGGGGATTTTACACCTTTTTTCATATCCTTTACCCTGAGAAAAACGTGTATGACAATATTCAGCCGAATAAATTGTCCGTAGATTGTTTTTTCATATTTCGTTGCGCGTTGAAAAGGGACAACGCGAGTTCAGTATAGTGTTTGCCCACGCCTTCGCCACCGGGTGTTATAAAACACGAGCAATGTCTATTTTCCCCCAGCTGATATTGAATACAACAAGCAAAGCAGAGGTGAAAGATCAAGCGAAACGAATTTATTTACAGTGGCCAATTGCTGCAGACAACATATTTACATATCTATTATACAACATCAATTCAACTAGGCATGTAGCACCGGTCATGATATTCAAAGTATACACAGGCTTCCTTAAAAAAATAATAAATACTCTGTTCTCTAACGCGACTTTCGTCACGCAAAACCAACATTCTGTGACTGACGCATCACGCACACCACGTGGTTGTGGGTTCGATGTCCTTGAGTGCCAGAAAGGTTGACAGCTTGTGATCAAAGTCAATTGGAAGTTCCTCCGGTTCTCGATAGCGATTGGTCATCTCTTTACCGAGATAGCCAATCAGCTCGCACTCTTCCTCGAATCTCATCAATTTCTGCTTGTATTTCTTGCGAACATATTCGCTGCTCTTGGGGTTGTAGGCTGAAATAAGAAGACAAAATGCTGTGAGTTTGCACTCGCTGTATCTGCTCTCACAAAATGCACTGAAACCACAGTTTGTGACAGAGGTCTACGGTCTAAATGTAAGCCTGACATCACTGCAGCCTCTACGCCACCTTTTTTAAGCAAAAAAGAGGCAAATTCAATTTCCCCTCCCCCCGTGTTTTGGAGTGGTTTCTCGTGATTAGAGAGGGCCTCCCAGGGGTTTGGGAGAACAAGGGAACATGATCGATTTTTTAGTAGACAAGGGATATTTCTGGGATTAATTTGAGGGAACAAGGGATATCTCTACCATTAACGTGAACTTTTGGAAAAAAAAAGAAACAGCGAAATTTATAATGTATTACACGTAGTGCCCCTGGGACGCCCTAAAAAAATCGCTAGAACTCGATAAACATTATTCTTACCTTTAAGATGATAGGCGATGTAAAGCAGAGCAGACTTCTTGGCGTCAACAAACGGATACTTGGGTTTAAAACAGCCGACTGCGGTCAGCGCTTTCGTGAGAGCAGTGGCCACACTCTGCTCCATGTAACCCAACATGGGGAGTCCACTTACAAGTAAGGGCTCCTTTCGAGGCGGCAGCTTGTGTGGTAATGTCAGCCCGTAATACCTTTCTGGTAGCCTGGAAGGTTAACAACAACAAAACATCTGAGTTATTGCCGGGGCTTTCCTTTTGTTCTGCTACTGTGTGCTGTTAGTACCTAAACATTTTTGGACAAAAACTAAAAAATATCGTTTCTTTTGCGTTATGTAAATCAACTGTACAGGGAGGTTCGATTTTCTTGCAAACTGCGGACACCTCACTTGAATTCAAATATTAATTTAATATTTTAACCGATAAGCTAGACGCTATCAAAGTAAAATGTTCTTGAAATGGTCATGAAAATTAAATCCGAACAATTGTTGAAGTTACCTCATGAATTTCTGCAGTTTCTCCTCCGATTCAAAGCAGAACAATTTTTCTCTGTACTCTACCACCAAGTCTGTCTCTCCTGGGACGATATTTTCATACCTGTGGAGAAATTCCAGGAAAGTTGAGCGAAGAAATGCCACGCTCAAACCTATATCGCGTGACATCTAAACTATGCGTGACTTCAGAATAATGCTGCTAAAGTACTGTTGGGCCTTCCAATCCGAAGCTCGTCAACTCAAGCCTTGAAAAGCCTTGATTTCAAGCCACTTGCATTAAGACGATTTTTTCATCGTTGCACCGCAATTCATAAGTGCTTAATTGGGTCAACAGATTTTGACTTCAGTTTCATTAGAAATCAAGCTGTTCACTCGCACAATACGAGACAATTGAATGATCTTCGTTTGCCCCTCCCTCGCACTAACTGGGGCAAGCAAATGTTCATTTATCAAGCAGCGAAGGACTGGAATAGCCTCCCGCGTGAATTAAAAGACACACGTGTTTTATCTATTTTTAAAGCAAAACTGAAAACTTTTTTGAATGATTTCAGCTAATTTTAATCTTTAGAATTTTAACTTTTTAACTAATACGAACTCTTTTTACTCTTATTTATTTTAGCTTGTAGTAATTTATTAGGTAACTCTTATTTATGTCATTTTTAGGTGATTTTTATTTCGGAGGGCTCCACTGAAAACCGCCTTTGGCGAGTTGGATTCCCTCACTATATATTATTATTATTATAAAGGTAAGTACGACTGGGAGCTCTTTTATTGTGGGCCACAAAGATGTAATGGTTGTCTAGAAACGTTCAAACGCGAATATATTCCTTTTTTACTTTAAGCTTCCCTTAGATTTGAACAAATGTTCACCTAAACTTCAATAAAGACCTATATCGCGTGACATCTAAACTATGCGTGACATATGGGTATGTCGTGACTTAGAGCCCTTTCCCTAGGAAATAATAACCAACCTTAGTTTGCCATCCAAGTACGTGACCGGACAATAGCCCTTAAGTTCAATCTGTTTCGGGAACATGGTCTTAACGTCTGCCGCAGTCCTTCTTCTTGGAAGGAGCTCGGGTTCGGGGAGTTTTCTGGGGGCCAAAGGAGGTACATAACGAGCCGGGTCCGCAAGAAAGAGTTCCAGCTCCACTCGCGACGCCATCTTGTAATAACGCCCTCGAAACTCAGCGGCAAACTCCAGCGAAGAGTTGACTGAACAGTCGACCAGTTCACCGCGGTCAGCCAGGCTGACTGGACAGTATTGATCGTAGTCACCTAGGCGTTGAAGACACTCAATGGGCGTAATACACATGTCAGCCACTGAAGCTGCTTTGCCTGGAAACGAAACGAGAAACGAGACAATAAGATAATGCGAGAATAACACAGTTCTAAGTGTGATGTTGTATCTTGAAAGACCATACAAAAAAAAAGGTGACATTTTTACGCTCTCAGTGCATCGATCTTGGATATAATACTTTGGTTAACAGGACTGAAAATTCTATGTTGTAAGACTGACCACATCAAGTTACACAGAAAAAAATTGAGACAAAACTGTGCTCAGGACACTGTAGTTTAACCTGACTAATTTCCACGAAATATATTGGTCTGAAATATTTTAGATCTTTTTTCAAGAGAAAATTTTAAACAAAAACCCATCTTGACAAAAATGGTCAGCATTGAGAAAAAGCCTAAGCTGCGCCAACTTCTCAAATGAGTATACTAACGTAAACATTGTCATAATCATCACCTTCTGATAGCCTTTGTAAATACGTCTGAATTTGACGGACACTTTTCCTAGCTTCGTCCAGAGCCTGGTCCCAAATCCACCACTTGGACCGCTGACCGTCAACGGGCACCCAGTTTCTATGCTCCTTTTGGTACCAGTCTCTTACGGCCTCAATCTCCTGCTGCCAGGCGTTGAGCCTGATGCCGAGTATCTGTTGACTGTCATGCAAAGGAAGAACCCTGGGGCAGAGATGATGTACAAGAGATATCAACATATAAACTCTCATGCCAACATCAGTGCAAATTAGTTGTGCAGATTAGGAGAATTAAGGAGATATCAACGAGGGCTTCTCATAGGGAGACGTGCTCGAAGAATTTGTATTTGCCAAAATCAGGAACAAACACAAAACAAAAGCAACAACCAAAGCAAATTAGGTACACCATGTTTTAATGCAGTAATTACACGATCGCTGGCAAAAGTACTAATTTGACTCAAGCTTTTCATGCTATTTTAATTCAATCCTATAAAGTCACCTTGTAGGCGCATGACGGTCAGCGGTCCCTCTTTTCAGCACCTCGTCGTCCTCCACTTGTAGTTCCAGGACTCTGACGGGGATGATCTTTCGCTCGGTCATCAGCTCTACTTGTTTCTTTGTAACAGGATATCCGTCAAGTATAAACCTAACGAACGAACAATATGGCGTGTTAATTCACGGGAAGTTGATTAAGGGGAAACGTTTGGGACAAAAAGGAATAGTGTGTTGTTGACACTGACTGTCTTGCAGGAAAAGCGATGATTTAGAGAGAGAGCAAAAACCCAATGTGGCCGGACTAAAGTTATAAGTAGAAACGAGAAAACGATGGTGAGAAAAATTGTCAATATGTCAATCAATAACTTGTCAATCAGTGTATTCAACATTAACAACGGCAAAAATGAACAAAACTTATTTGAGTGGTCGAATAAACGGAGTAAAAATACAAAGGATTATACAGGTTGGGAATTTAGAATGTGGCCGTTGGCCGTATTAACGAGGAGGTCGCGTTAAAGGGATTCTCCTAAAAGAAAATGTATGGGCGTTTCGCCGAGACAAAAAAGTGGCTGTAACAACGAGGTGACCGTAAGGCGGGGTTCCACTGTATTGTAAACAAAGATTCCCGTATAATCTTACCCTCGTGTCTGACACTGCATATCTAGCAAAGCCACCTCTAATGCTTGTACCGCTAGCTCATCCGGCACAGGGTTACCAGCCTTAAGGTGAAGATTGATCTGACGAGCAAGCTCAGTGTACGATTGGAAATTCACAGATTTTCTTATCGCTTCACCGATGGACAGTCTCACGACGCCATACTCTGCCACAAAACGGTTCGCCACTGCAACGAAATAGAAACAACGTGTTAACACAAAAGTAAGTTGTGAACTTAAAGCCTGAAAAAAGGTTCAGGCGTGAACGCAATTCGAACCCATGACCTCTGGGATACCGATGCGTTATTTTCACAACTGCTTAAATTGTGCAATAGCAGCTTCCTTGTCTGTTGGAAACGTTTTGTGAAACAACAGATTGCTCACGGTTGGGGACCTTCCAGCTTAAATTCTTGTCATCTTTGTTTCCTTTTTAAAAGTTTGCAGGACTTTATAACCATTTCCTCCTTTTAACTATGGGGGTACCTGTGAAGGAATAGTATCCCAGCCGGGGGAGGGAGGGGGATGAAGGGGGAGGGGGTAAGTAAAAGTAGAAAAACCCTATCACGTAACTTTGCGCCGAGTCAACAACACGTTCTGCGCCACGCGCACGCTGGATTGACATTGACGCAATCAATTACGCTACCAAGTACACGACTAAAATGAAAGCAAAATTTTCCTACTGTGACCAAATAAAGTTAAATGAACCTGTACTTAAAAAAGGAACACCAGAATAGCAGCATATCGCTAACCATTAACTGTTAACGTCTTCCAGTTAAAAACTAGCTGTTATCTATCGAAAATTATACTGAAATCCAACTGTAAACATGTACCTGCAGATGGCGTAGTGCGTGCGCAAAACAAGTGCTAGAGACACAAATGTTTTACTTACTGGGGAGGTGACAGGAAAGAAATGTAATGGGCACCGTAAAAATTTTCAAAAAAGATCGATAACTTTAAAAAACGCGTGGTTAGCCCTACATTTTATGTTATGAATTGGAAGTGGCAAGCCTATTCAACACTTGATTAGCTTTTCGTTGTGAGCAAAAGGTATTTAGACTGTATTTTAGCTAAAAGAGACGCTAGACGCTAAAAGCGCTGTTGGAACGATTTTGTTATTAAAAACATACCAAAACTGGTTTTTGTGTTACCACTTACCATGTAGTTTTAAGATCTTTATAAATGTGTTTGCTTTTCTGTATGTAAAGGCGAATTCTAAAGAAATCTGTGAAGAAATATCCTTGCCTTTATTTTTCAGAAAAATGCTGATGTCAGCTAATTATCTTGGAAAAATGCATGGTTACCCCAACTTTCCTTTGTGGATTCCAATAGCCCTTGCAAAGATCTGCTTTTTCCGCGTGGTCTTAGCCTGGCGCAAAAGTCTTTGTATTTAGTAGGCACCGTTCTTAATAGCCGTCACCAAACAAGGCCAACTGAATATCACTGATCAGAAGGAATTTAAACCAAAATTTAAATTCTTCCTATCACTGATATTCACGTTTTAGTCTATTCTGTCCCCTGCTCCTTCTCGTACTTACAGTATGACAAAATGAACACGTGAAAACCAAACTGAAATTTAATTTCTGCCCAGTAAAGAAAAACGCCATCTTGTCTTTGATACTTACATCCAGTCTTGCCAGACTTTGGAGGTCCGATAACCGCCATTTTGATAGGAACAACAGGCTTAGGAGAAGGCTGTTTTAAGAAACGGAACGGGCACTGCATGAACGTTTCCCGCTCGTCTCGTCCCGAACAGAAGTACACATTCCGTCTGTACACCACAGGGAAGGTGTAAACCCCGGAGCCGTGCTGAGGAGGAAGAACTTCGCCTTCCAAGAGCTGCGAAGAAAATGAAAATAATGGAGCATTAAACAGGGAGTTAACAGCACTGCAAGTATGTTGGAGGAAAATCCCTGCACTATTAACATCGCCATGAACAAGAAATTATAAAATTCATATTGTGAACTTAACTGAAAGAAAACAATTGGAATTTGTTGTTAAGTTAACAAGTGTTGTATACCAGGGAAAGTGAAGAATGCTCATCGCAGTAATATTGGAAAATTTACTGCGATGGGCATTCTTCACTTTCATCTACAACCGCAGTTCAAATATGAATCATTTCATATATACTTCACATTGTTATACACCATATATACCATCTTGCCAAGGTTCAAATATTCCGATTCAAGGATTCGAGAATATCCTACAACTGCTGATTACCATTTTCGGGTTTTTCAAAAATCAAACAACCTAACATCAAACAGGTGGTTTTGTGGAGTCATTGGTAAAGCAAGATGCAGGCGCAAAGCGTGTGTCACGCGAGACAGGACGCGCGCGGATTTGATATAAAACACGTTGACTAAGTTCTTTGCGTTACCTTGACTGGGCACCATCTTCCAAAGCGACTTGGAAACTTGTAGCCCATGGTCAGCATTCTATTCGCCAAGTAACCATCAATGGCGAAGCATCTATCAAACAGACTCTCTCTGAAATCGACAACAGGCTTGAGAACTTTCTTTATACAATATTCCACGATCCTCGGCTTTCGTCCACCGTTGATCTCAACTCGAGGAATTGAAATCTCTTCTAGCGTTTCCTGGAAATACAAAAAGAGAAGATTGCGGTTAGCCTGTTTGTAAGGAGAGCTGTAGTTATAACACAGGTTTGTCTGAAATAATTAATTTGGAAATTGAAAACAAATATCCTCAATTTGGCGAAGTAAGTTTTCCCTGCTTCGGTGTAGCGTCGAACAAGTTGCACGAGACTTTACTTTCCTTTTTAAGACAAAAGAAACATCTCGTAAAATGGCATGGAATGACAATATGCATATATGCCTGCCAATACGCTTATTCGGATCAAAGAAAAGTGGTAGAACTTAAGCTCTAGGGAATGTTACTTTCCGACGGAAAAGAAGCTGTAAAACCATGCAATATCTGTGGGTAAAAAAGATTGGCAACATATGATGTTGTCTAGCCGGTAAATCAGGTTGTGAAGCTGGTTGAAACCACCTTACTGGTTGATTTATTTCCTATGACGCTCGTCAAGAGAATTAATTTGATCAACCCAGTTTCCTCTAGCTGACCAGTTCATATGTTCTCGTCACTTACAAACCTGACTTTGTATTCGAAGGAGAAGTTAGACGCTGATCACTGACCTGTACAGTTGCCACTTTGCCGGTCTCCTCGTCATAGCGATCTCCAATCTCTGTTTTCAATCGTTCAATGGCGTCTTCTTCACTCTCCTCCTCCTCTTCTTCCATTTCTTCTTCCTCTTCGTCCTCAGCGTCCAACAGTGCCTCGATATCCTCTTCTTCTTCCTCTTCCTCTGCTTCCTCTTCGCTGTCATCGCTGTCTCGCTGCGCCTTACGGGCCTGGCAACGTAAGTGCGATTTAGTTAAAAAGTTATAAATAGTGATAAAACAGGGCCAAAATAAACTCAATTATATAGCAGACGTTTCGGGCCTAGCCCTTCCTCAGTGATAAGTATTGGACTTGGCGGCGGGAATGGAGGGAAACATCTGCTCATTAAAGAGTCTTTTCATAGCTCTCTACTTTCTCGTTTTTCATTCGATCGTTGAACGGGGACAGAATCGCGAGAGAACTGGACGCCAGCACAAAACGAAAGACCCCACCCCGTTTCGCGCTCGAGCTCGCTTTGCTTGCTTTTTCCTTCGCTTGCGTTGAAAAATAGAGAGGCTGTGAACAGTGTGTAAAGAGTTATGACTGCAAAGCAGTACTTACCTGTTTTTCGGCTTTCCTTGCCGCGATCTCCGCCATCTTTTCCTCCCGTCGCCGCGCTCGTTCTTCGTCCTTTTGATTAAAAATAGAACGACAAAAGCTCAACGATAACTCGAAGCAAACAGTTCATTTTGTTCAAACTGTCGTCATTTATCACTTTTTAAGAAAACACGCACCCTTCAAAAATGTGAAACAGAATACAGCAGCACAGTACCGTCTCACATTTTTACGTGTTATACTGATGCGAATTATCGTTCTTTTACAAAAGGCTTCAAACGTGTTTTCATTTACTCCATTACTCGTCTGAGATCACCAGGGCTCAGTCCTGTGCTTTCGGGACAGATGTGAAGTTTTCAATGGAGTGCACCCTACTTTAAGTGAAGAAACTCAGAAACAAACTTTGTGCACGTGTAACAAGCGTCAGATACAACAAACCAAAATGTTCGGACCCGAACAAGTTCTTTCAATCGGGGGCTACATTGTAATGCCCACAAAATCCGTTTTCATTACTGGTTTGGGAATGAAGAACTGTTGAATCATTGCACGTAGAAGCAGAGTCTTCAACTCACCTTCTGTTTCTTGGCTAAAGCTCGTTGTCGTTCTTTCTCTGCTTCTCGTTTGTCCCGTTTCTTGCGCCATTTTTCCAGCAGTGGTGGCAGAAGCCGGTCAACAATTTCAGTGTCTTCTACTGCGAGAATGACGGCTATGTCTGGAAACAGGCCAGAGGAGGACAGGTAACGAGCCTCGGCTTCAGTACGAGGGAAACCCTCCAAAATGAACCCAGTAGACCTGGTAAGAAACCCAAGGATATTCTAGTCAGAAACAATAAATAGCGCTGATTTAATACTTTTAATTAGTGTTCACTTCCCCATTTGGAAATGTTTGGCGGAAATCAAATGAAAGTTTGGGCAAACATACGCCTTTTCTTGTCCGTCTATCAAACCTGAGCGTACAATTGTCAAGGGCAAAGACGCATCAGTAATGCGAAAGAAGAGAAATTATTATTTTTTCTCTCACTTTCACAGTTGATCTTTTTTCCACCCTTCCGAAAAATCAGCATCCCATTCCACCTGACTATACTGCGATCATATTTAAGCAGTAAATTAAATGTAGCAGCTGATCAGCAACTAAATGCTCCCAACTGGAACAGCAAATGTCCGCCAAGAGTCGTGAGATTCTTGTTGATACAAGATAGGGCTAATATTGCACTGTCTCACATTATCTATTTATCTTCGTGCCTCACCTAAATGGTTCTTCGTTCCACCATGCAGGCAGAATCTTGTCCAAAGTTTCGTTCGGTAGAGCTTCTCCTTCAGCTAAATTAGCGCGAATGCTTTCTTCCTCGTCAGTAAGTTCCAGTTCAGCCTCGTCCTCAGTCCCTTCCTCGCCTTCACCCTCACCCTCTCCACCCTTAGGAACAGTTTCGGTATCTGACGAAAAAGCCCACAGAACATTTTGTTATCAAAATGAAAAAAAAAGAAAGTCAATAATAAAGAACTCGGACTCGCACAAGATAATGGGAACTTTGATTCCGCTAAAACAGAACTTTTCGGGAGCAAAATTTAAATTGCATATTTTGATTACTAACCAGTTCCCTCCAGTCCATCAGGTGCCGTGACGGCCTGTTCACCAGACTCCTCTTCGTCGTCCTCATACTCGGGTCCAATCCTCTTCTTGGTCTTGGCGATGATAAGCTCTTGCAGACGGTCCTTGAATGAAATGTGAAACACACCCATCTGCTTGGCAAGACGACGGCCATGAAGGGTTTTTCCTGCTCCTTTGGGACCGACGATCAGAAGACGAATTGGAGGAGGCTACAAACCAAGGCAGAAAGAAAAATGGTCACACAAAGCAAGAGTACACAATTTTACAGAACAGTTTTCAAAATCCACAGGAGTCAAAATCTGCTGACAGTTTCTCACCTCAAGAGGTTTGGTACTCGGGAGGAAACTCTCTGGTTCTTCTAAGAATGTACCTCTGGCTTCAGGTGATGAGAAAAAGTAAGTTCTCTCGCGGTACTTTGCTGCACACTCAGCGATACCAGGCCACAGAACAAACTTCTCCTTCAGCATCACGGGACAGTAGTGATTAGTGTCACCAAAGATCTTCTTGTCCTTGCTAAAAATGTCTTCTTCCTCCTCCTCTTCTTCCTCCTCTTCCTCGGCAAAATCTTCTTCTTCTTCGTCTTGGTCCATTCCGGTGTACTCCCATCCACGGTAGCTAAAGGGAGCTGCCAGAGAAAAGCAAATCTTGAGTATCAGCGCACATTAATACACATGCACAACAGAGCAACTGACGATGACAGCAACGAAACCGTTACTCCAGTTCTGCACCCCCTTCTGTCACGCAACGCTTCGCTCTCAGGGCAAAGCGTTGCGTGAAAGAGACAGGGCGAAAACTGGACTAAGAAACCGTTTTTATAATGTTCTGCTCGTGTTTTTACAAATTAAGCTAAGTGAGAGTGCGTTATGCAGAATTTTGGTGCATTACTTGGCCATTCTCTGCGAATTCTCTGTTTTTATAGAGAACCGTAATGAGTTTTATTTCGTTTCAGTCATTGCTTTTATTCATTAAAAGTCCTCAGGATAGTTTGAAATCCCGTAAACCAAACCATTAATGCATCTACCGTGCAGATAACTATCGTCCTTGGACCTTTCTCGTGGTTGCTAAAGCTTTCCAGTTTCTTCTTTTGTTTAGCGTTTCTTTTAACGACTGTAGCCTACATTTTCCCTGTTCCTACACACATACCTTCAATTCTCTTGATGACCTCCTTGTTCAAGTTGTCTGTCTCCTTTTCAACGGACACTGCGATAGGTTCAATGTTGTTTGTGCCTTTCAATACAGACAGCAGCTGAGGGAAATCTTGATCAAATTTCGTTCTGAGATTCTTAAACTCTTCCGTCTCTGGTGTATTGGGTGGCATGTCTGAATCCAGAACTAGTTCTTCCTCTTCAGGTCCTGCACCTAGAGTAAGATCTTCTCCCGAGGGCTGCAGCTCGGGTGTCTCTATATCCTTGGGTTCAGCCTCAGCAGCAGGAGCACCGGCAGCACCCTCCTCTTCCTCTTCCTTAGCTTTCTCCTCACCTTCCCCAGCCTCCTCCCCCTCTTCCTTATCTCCGGCCTCCTCTCCTTCACCAGCTTCTTCTGCTTGTTCCCGCCGAAGTCTCTCTTCCTCCTCTTTTCTCTTAGCTTCCTCCGCAGCCTTCCTTTCCGCTTCTTCTCTAGCTATTCTCTCCCTCTCTGCACGCTCTGCTTCCTGACGAGCCCGCTCCTCTGCCCGTCTCGCTTCCCATTTCTCATGAAGTTCTGGAAAAGAAGAAATCATTCAGCTTGAGTTTTTCCCAAGCAAACAAAACATGAAACGCGAACGAACGTTTGCTGTGCTTTCGTAGAATTTGCTGTCTCCCAAAATAGCTTGGGCATAGAAAACATTTCCGTCCAAAGGCCAAAATAAGAAAAATCTCTTTACTAACTCTATTGAATTTCTTTCATAATTAGCTCTATGAATGATTGCATATCTTTACGCCAAACAGTTGTGTGCTTTGCATTTAACTGATTTTGCAAAAGAAGAATGTGCAATTAAATATTATGCAATTTTTTTTGTAAGAGTAAGCAATGTTTGTTTGTTTGCCAGTCTTCCCCTGCTACATACCTTCTTTGTTAGTGTGATACCATCTTTTGAGAAGAAATTCTCCATTGTCAGTGTCATCTCTCAGGTAAATCACCTCGTCAGGAACAATATTCCTTTCAATCATAGAAGTGAACTGCTCCCGTGTTCTTGGAAAGTTGTCCAAAATGTACCCACCAGCACTTGGAATGAAAAACAAAGGAAACATTAGCACCCAAATGTAGTTGCTACACTTAGCACTGAAGTAATCGTCTTGAAGCGATTTTTGTACAACCTTGAAATGACAACGCGTGAACTGAAGCAAAGAAATAAACGAACTAGAATGGAGCAACTTGATTGGTTTAGCGAGTGGAAACGAACACGAGGGACGTTTGGATATTACACGAAAACGCAAAAAGAAAGTGGACGGATTGTCGTCACTTGCTTTTCAGTATTCTGATAGGTCAGCTGAACAAGGGTTTCTCCATATTAGGGATATGTTTGGCGGGAAAACACACAAGGCTCTTTTTGGTCGATTGGTCCTCTGAATCACTACTGGCGGAAAAGTCAGGAAAAGAGTTTTTTGAGGCCTAGTTAATAAAGGGCAAGGGTTATTTTTGAAACCCATCAAACTTCCAAAGAGCAAGCAAAGGTACCAGATTTATGTTGCAAAGTCCACGACCATGAATAACCTTTTGTTTTCTCCTTGCTATATGCATGAATTACGTAACGAAAACCTTTCTTTTGGTTAGTTCTGAGGAAAACACCTATTGTGTTTTGTGCAAAGCACATCTCTACAGCTCTATAGACTTACTGTGGTCCATCAGGATTCAATTTTTGCAGCTCAGCATATCTTTGCTGGATCGCTTCCTCGATCACGTCAGTGTACTCGTCTGGAGACAATTCAGGCTCTCGCTTCTCAGCTTCAGCCATCGCTTCATTGACAATTTTAACAACTTCAGGATGATTAGCATCAATCGGCAATTCTCCTCTAGCAGACTTCTTGGGTTTTTCATCGCCATTTGTTTCGTCATCATCCTGTGTTTTCTCCCTTTCGTTAGCTTCTCCCTCATCGCCATCTTTCTCTTCCCCGGCTTCTTCACTGTCTTGAGCCGGGGGTGGTTCAGCTGTTGCAACACAAAAGAGTAGAAAGTAAATCTCTTATTTTCCTGGAATATTTTCATCGTACATGTAACTTAACTGCTAATTAATGGGAACACCAGACCGTGTGGGGGGGGGGGGNGGAGACTCCCATGTGGAAAAAGTTGGAAATGCTCGTCAAAAATATTCGAATCAAATCCCGAAAGAGACCAACCTGGGTGTGGCTCCTCTTTTTTGATCCCTTTAAATGTACCACTTTAAAACGGAAAGCATGTTTTTTTATTACTTCAAGTGCAACCCTAAAAGATTCCTTGAGTGCTAAAAATTGTGGAATTTTGTTCTGGACACCCCAGATGAGACCAAAATCCGTGATTTACACCGCTAAGTGAGCCGAAACGAGAAGCATCCCCGACGTTTTCACACTGGAGTTCCCCTGCCCCTAAAAGGCAGCAGGCTTACGCTCATCCTCGTCCTCCGCAGCTTCAAGTTGTTGTGTTTGCACTGCAGCAGTTATTTTAGAAATCGCAGATTCGGTAGTCTCATCTCGTAATTCATCCATCATTTTCTTCTTGGCTGCTTCTATCCGTGGCTTGATTAACTCATCGATGTCAAACACCTGTAACACAAGATGAATGCAAGGAAATTTTATCTCAGTTAATTCTCTTGGCTTCCAAGAATGTGTTGTCAATAGGCCATATTCATATTCTCGGCAATGGACTGGAACTAGCTTGAAATGGAGGTTCATGCGGGGGAATATCATTAAAAAGTGCTTAGAGTCATTTGCATTTGAAAAGACTCCCTGCAGGAGCCTCAGTTGCAAGCTAGTTCCACTCCAATACCGAGAAGACGAACATGGCCTATTATAATTCATTCCATCTGATACCTAAAAAAATAAAAATATGCCGTGGAAACACTTTTAGTCCTGACATCAAATTGAGGGTTCCCCCCCGGGGGGGGGGGGTGTACTTCCAGAAAAGTTGGGTGGGGGTGTGTGGCCCACTTCTTAAAACCCTCACTCACCAAAATCTGCGTTTTTTGCTACCTTATTTATGACCTGTCCAAAAATTTGATAGCTGTTACGAACACAGTTGCCCCAAACGTAAGTTACAGGTATGAAGGGCTTTTGTTGATGGTTTTATTGATAAAGATGAAAGCATACGAAGAACATAAACATAAGAAACATACCCAATTCAAGACTAGAGTGCTAAAACCATACCCTATTTATAACCAAAACGGCCAAAATCAATACCCTATTTATGACCAAAATGGCTAAAAAACGATACCCTTTAAGGCTGCACATACCTATATAGCCCATGTAAGGGAGTACCCCCCTGGGGGGGGGGGGTTCCTTCAAAAAGAAGGAAAAGGTGCCTTACTTGTCAAACCATCTGACCCCAGTTGTTTGAAAGGTGGATAGCACTATCCATCGGATAAATCGTTATCTAGCAGATAAGTGTTAACAAAACAAACTACACTGTCCACTGGATAGTGATTTATCCAGTGGATAGTGTTATCCACCTTTCGAACAACCCAGGCCAGAAGACAGTTTACCAACATATTTTACTCTTTGTCTTTCTTTATTTTTATTATGTTTTTGGTCGGTATTCAATTATTTTTTCCTAAGATTCAATCAATGTGAGGATCAGATTCAGTTTCTATGTCATAATGTTCACTTACATGTAACTCCAAAACAAGAGGTACTATTCAAACATTGTGCAAAATTCAACTTTGTTGCATTAGGTAACTGCTTATAAATGGAATATCAGGACCTCACAATCTGCAGATGTAATTCTCATAACTTGCCTGGTTTATTTGCCATCGATAAAGTTAAGAGAAATTACACCTTAATCAATGCTGAAAATGGGAGGATTAATAAGTCATTTTCTGTACCTTGGCTTTGTATCTTTGGGCCAGTGCATGAGCCACTGTAGTTTTGCCAGAGTGAGGCGGGCCTAAAACACACACTTTACAGGGAGGGCAAGGCAATTGAGGAGCCAGGAAGGGACGAGGATTCCGCAAGAAGTGTACCAATGCTTCATTTGTTGACATCACATACAGTTTGTCCAAGAAACTGAAAGTTAAAGTAAGAAAAGTTACAATTTAAGAATTATAAATGGAAACTGGTGAGATGTTAAGGGAACACGATGAACCCTTTTGGGGAGGGAGAAGTAGCCTACAATGAACTAGCATCCCTTCCAGGTGAAGGTGGGGGTAGAGCAATACTCCTCGTTACTCCACGCTATGCACAGAAACCAGAGTTTATTATCTGCAAGCCAAAGGCTGATGAAGACTTAGCCACAGTAAGCTTGAACTTTCACTTTTTTTTCACTCTAATTTGGCAGCATTCTCCGGTAAGCATTGCACAATTTCGGACAAATTGACCAGCATTATAATTTTTTTTACCTGACAGAAAACTGTGCCATTCCCTGAACAATGTTGCCTTCTTTCAGTGAAACAGGGCATGCCCGTCCCCACTTACTGCGACGCCAGCGGAACTTGGGTGCCACCATTTCTGTTGCTGCTAATGTCCGAAGAAGGTCATCAGTTTCAGTGTCATCTGATATTTCATCACCTTCCTCTCCTCCTTGGAGGCGCAAGGGAACAAGGGCGTGGTTCAACTTGAAGGTGTTAAGTTTCATCATGAGGGACTACCATTGCAAAAGAAGTGAAAAAGTACTTCAAAAATTAGTTAACATAAATGTGGAAAAAAACTCAGGGGACAAATGGACATTTACAGCCACAAGTTATTGCTACAGTGATCACAAGTATCTACTCTAACAATATTATTAATTGAGAGGACTGAAATCTCTATAATACCAGTTTCAGAAATAATTTTTTTGCGAGGGCAGTCTTGGAAGAGAGCAAAATTGCAACTTGTTTTCATCACTTCTCAGCCATCATAAATGTATATAAAAGCTATAAATTAATAAATGCGGTTTGCGACACCTTTACTAGTACATAGTAGTAAAGGAATTTTAATCTTTACATACCTCACACAAGTGCGGCCTTATGTGTGACTTTTATAAAGGATATGTAGCCAATGAAAAAACTTGAAAGAAGAAACTTAGTTTTACTCACTTTAAAGACTACTTTTGGATTCTCATTGCCATCTAACTCTATGAGCTTCTGTTGATCATGATCTGCCATGTAGTCCTAAAAAAGCAACACAGATCAAATCACATTATTCTATAGAGTGCTTGCATCAATTTATATATTTATGCATGCAATGAATCATATAATAAGAACAATTTCTTAATGGAATTCTATCTTTTACCGAACACTGTCAGAACAAGGTATATCAATGGACAATACCTCCAGAGTTCTCAGCATCATATCCCGATATTTCTTGATGCTAGAGGCCACATTCTGAGGCAAGTCTTCCGGCCTTGTCACAAGTCTTGCAACCAATTCGGGCGTGATCTCTTCTCGCTCTTCTTCGTCCTTGTAGAAAAAACAAAGTTTGATTTAAGTTAAACTTGACTGATCAGTCACAAATGTAGCTGTGTCACGTGATAGCATTTCAAGCAATGTTATAAGGGATGGACAATTGTGTTTTTGAAGGGGGGAAGGGTTGGGCAATTTCCAAAAACAATTCCTGCACTGTAAAAACTTCTGGGAAAAAAAATCATGCAAGGGGAGCCATGGGAAAAAAAATCAAACAAGTGTCTTCTGCTATCCTCAATCAATGAAATCAATCCTGAAATGCATCACTATTATCATAGCTGACCTCTTCTTCTTCTTCAATCATTTCTTCTTCAGCTTCCTCCTCCTCTTCTTCTTCTTCCTCTTCATCCTCTTTGTCTTTTGCATCAGTGGCCAGAGCCTCTGGGGCATATTCACTTTTTGTGTATATTACATCAGTTAGAGGATCTACACGCTGCTCACATCGGCGTTTCTCCAGATCCTTGTCTGGGATCTGGTAAGAAATTTTAACACAAAAAGAATCAATGTGAGGGGAACTACATTAATCAGGTCTATGTACATGTACATGTATAATGGTATGAGCATCTGAAGTCTCAAAGTCACCTACAGTGTAAGTTGATGTTTTGACCATCAAGTATTAAGTATAAACGTGTACCTGTCTTTTTGGATACCAGTCAGTTTGGCAGAAAATCTAGCTATTAGAGTTGTTTTACACTATGAGACTGTACTCTGTTGTAAGTTATTTTAATAACTCAACAGTAGTTCTCTAAGAGGACTAGAAGTTGGAAAAAGGTAGTAGAATATCAGCATTCTGTTTCCACCAGGAAAAGATAGACTTTATGTAGGAAATAGAGCGGTATTCAATTGAGGTAATTACTTTGGTTTTGGTTTTGGTTTGGCTTTACTATGGTTTGAGATAGAGCGTTTTTCAACTGAGTGTCAAATTCAATGTAATTAGACAATTACTTTGGTTTAATGCTTTTGTTTTACTACGGTTTCAGATTGACTGAGTAGTCTATTATTGGTAAGTAACTGGTTTGGTTTTGGTTTTACGACACTCAATTGAAAACTGCTGTATTTACTAATGAATAATTTTTTTTAGCAAAAGTTGTGGACAATAATTTTTTTTTACAATTTGTAGATTTTCTGGTCTACTGAATCTTAACAACCAACAAATGTAGATCAACTAAAAGGAATTTGTTCAAATACTTATGTTACTATTAAAAGTACATCAATTCTATCTTCACCTTGATGTTGATTATAAAATCTGGTGTAAGAGGGAGATTCTTCACAAGGTCAAGTTGATCAGCCATGGATAACCAGTCCTCACACAACGATGGAAATCCATCCAAAACATATCCTGAAAACAGAAAGGAAAATAAATAGTCCTCCACTAACTTTTGCCAATATTTCTTTTGTAATACTCCATCTTGTGGATATTTTAAAACAAGGGATTTTTCTGACCTCTAGTCTGGCACTTGATCAACATTTCTAATGTAACATTTCTGTTGAAATACATGTCCTGCAGCATGTGCAAGTTTTAAAATAAGAAATTATTCTTACCTCTAATTAATGGAACTTGAAACTACTGTTCGCCGCTAATTAAAAGTTATTTTATACACTAATCTGAAAATTCCAGAGATTGTGCTTACCATGATGGGAAACTTCTGGGGAACTGACTTTTTCCAGCAAGACTTTTGCACATACTTCTTCAGGAATTGCTTCACCTTTGAGTAAAATATCTTGTGCAATTGCACCTAGTTCAGTCTGAAGCTCAATTCCTTGATTTATTATTTCTGAGCCTTGGGTGGAAAAGAAAGCAAGCTATTACTCATAAATTGAAGCTCCAAGTTCTGCACTGTCTTATACATGTACATGATGCACAAACAGGTTATTGACCAATTGACCAAGCTTGCTCAGTAGATACGATCTTTAATTGTTTGCATATATATGGACCAAGGTGCAGTCAAGGTACATAAACACACTCATATCCAGGCATCTTGAACAAAAATGTTTGGTCAATATAGGATTTACATGTATTGTATGGAATTCAGAACAAAATTTGCTTCTCAAAGGATACTGCTAGTAATCCTGGGTAAGCAAGATAGTTCCATCTTGCCCACCAGCAAATTACAACACAGGATTCAGTTTGTATTGCCCACTTACAGAGCTGGCCATATATAATAAAATCATGTAGTTTAAGTGTATGATTGTTATCAACCATGACTTGTCACAAGTTTCTACATGCGCATACAATTTCAAAATTTGATAATGAGCTAGAAAAAACTGATCTTCTTCATCCTAGCTTGAACATACAGTCATGTATCAACGTCATAATGGATCCTTTTCCATTGTCTTCATGATCTGCCTTGCCCCATTTTTACAAGTCTTGCTCTTTTAATAATTACTCCTGCCAACCCAAATAGAACTTTCCTGGCACATGTACTTACCATTAATTAGCTCACATTTCCATGCTCTGGCAAGCTTCTTTGCAAGAGTAGTCTTGCCTGATCCCTGATTGTAAAGGAGATAGCATTGTTACAATGTACACAAAACATACATCTACATGTACATGAACAGGGAATTTCTATTGGAAGTGACCTAATCCTAACTAAGTACAGATTCAGTGTAGGTCTTATAGTGTGTAACTGAGTACAGGTGTATAATTATGCGGCAAAGTTTTGTTAAAAACAGTTTATTTTGTGAGGAGTTACCGATATACTATCTTCTATAGCTTGGTGAATAACTGAGAGTGATTTGTAAAGTGTAGTTCCTGAAAATATCCATACCTCCCCCATGGAAGGGATTTTTTCCAAGCCCCCCCCACCCCTATGGAAATTCCAATTAAATTTAATGCATTTCTTTAAATTTTTTGGTCTTAGAGAACCTCCCACCCCCCCAGGAAATTCCAATTCCTTCTGTGGGGGGAGTATGGATATTTTTTGGTACTGCACAATGGTAATTGGAGTAAAATCCAGAGACTAGTTGGTTGAGCAATTTCAATAACCTGTACACAAGGGAAATTTAAAACTGAGAGAAGGATAAATTAATTTGGCACCCACTATGAGACTTGTCCATCTGACTTAGCACCTGGTGTTTACATGATGTGATATAACACAGGGATTAGTTGCCTTGTCTGTCCAACCTTTATTTTCAGGGGACAAGTCACAGGGACTTCACACTTCAGTTTTAAGCAGTTTGAATTGTGCAGACATAATTTTGACTTTTGCAACAAGATTTCCTGTCAAAAAATGGATTTCACATGCAGGGACTTGTTCCTGAGACTTTTCATCGGAGAGGTCACATCATGTGAAAGCCTTTTTCTGTTGACAACTTAGTGAAATATCTTATGTGTACATGTATGTGTAGAAACAGTTTTAATTTGGCAGCTGTAATTGGTCATCTACATGATCATCTGTTACACAACTAATAAGTATAGTAGAACGTTGTTATCTTGAACGCGGCCATCTCAAACTCCCCGCTATCTAGAACTCAGATCATTTTCCCTTGTTTACATTTCCTCAGTCAAATACTGGACAATGTACTATTGACTATTACTATTGCCGGCCCCCGACATGTTGAACTTTTTTTGTTTCCCTTAAGAGTTTGAGATGATGGGGTCCAACTGTATTTCACAAACCAATCAGGAATGAGAATTTTGAACAGATACAATTAACCATATGATTGTTACCATTATTACTGATGTTCAATTACATGTACAACTGTAGTATTTGTTGTACCATAATTGGACCACACACTAACAAATCTTTGCTTGTAGAAACCAATAGAACATACATTTGTACACTGTAATACATAGCGTCATGCAATTCAAGGGGTATCATGCTCGGATTCTCAATTTTTAAATCATTTAGCTGAGAATTGTATTCCAAACACACTGATGTCACCAAAGTAAAACTATATACTATGTAACCCTGATAGCCACATCAAAGGAACTCTTCAACAGAGTTTGTGTACATCTAAGTTGTGCAAGCACAGATCTGTGACATACTGTACCTACCGGTTTCCCAATGACAATAAAACAAGTTGGTTTGGAGTTCAGAAACCTCCTTTCGGCCTAAAAGGGTGTGCACGTTCAAAATTAGTCAAAAATAAATACTTTTGGATCTAGCCATTCAAGACGAAGTTCATCATCTCGATGACTCTTCGAGGTTCAACCCTAAGGCTAGAACTTGGCAAAAAAAAAAAAAAAAAATCAAGAANAGATCCCTATGTTCGGGACGGAAAAAGCTTCTTACATGTTCTTCAGTGCTCAAAGCATTTGCAAAGACAAAGGCGAACGAAAGAGTTACAAGAAAACTGTACATTTTCGTGTCGAAATTGCAAGACAAACACGAGAGCTCGATAAGGCCCTTACTTCCACGCGAGCGTTCGTCTACTGAATGTCGAGCGGTTGTTAAAGCGATCTTTTATATCACCAAACAGGAACTAAGTAAATTCTATTGTGATGTGATGCATTGTCATATAAGTTACGTATTGTCACTGAGTGGGCTGAGCTGATATGTGGTTTTATCGTGTGTTATCACGCCAAACAAACACACAGCCAGTTGCATTGATTTTAACCCGGTGAAATTCTCTCAGCAAATTAATATCTGGTGAAAACGTTTCCAGTAACTTCAAAGGTTTAAAATATTTAGGTTAGTCAAATTGACTCACTATTCTTTCGCTTAAACAGTGCAGCTCTCATTATTTTCGCTATTTGCACATGAAAAGATTCACTTATCGTTCAGTGAAGTGTAAAAACTACGATTATCTTTTAAAATCGTATATCTATCACGCGTGGTTGAATTAACTTGGTTGAAACAGGAAAAAATTCCTTTCAGCAAGCTTTAATGATAATTGCTCAATGACTCAAAGAGCAGCGACGTCGAAAACTGTTCTGTTTTGCTCAACAAGAATTATTTTTTCCTGTTAGATCTTTTTTCCGGATAACAACCTTGTCTATTCAAGCAAAAAAACATAAACCTCACACATTTTGAAAGGTCGTTGCACTACCCAACCGAGAAATGACGAAGGTTACATGGACTGCCCACTGCACAGTCAAGTGATATTGCACCTGTGCTCTTTCTGCATCAATGAAGAACAACCTTGTTTTCGAGCTCCTCTTTCGTTATGTTCTGTACGTTTTGGTACGCGTAATCTAAGAGAATTAAAGTTTTAAAAAAATAAATCACTTATATACTGTTTCAACAAGTGGTCAGTTAAACTGGTCACAATTTCCAGTGTCGCTATACATCCACAACTAACCTGACAACGTTGGCAACCAATTCCTTTGAACAACTCAAACGTTTTGCCTGGATTAATTCCTTTAACGACGCAAAATGTCGATCATTGTTTCTATATATGTATATCACCAGTTGTCAACTAACATACTGGTCTGGCCAGCCGAAATATTGTTTTAAACACTACGGCGTTGTGTCAGGCTTGCACTAGTCTTTGACTTCTCATCGTTTTACTTTTCAAGTTTGGCTGATTAGATCTCCTGTGAGATCCACGTTCAATCAAGCAGCGATCTTCGTTCACGGTTTTGCAGTTTTTTTTACTTCATTTGTTATAATATTTGGGAACTGCGCCGATGTCCTTGGGTATATACGTACTTTGGCCTGTCTTACATGACTTTCATACATTGTGCAACACTGTTAAGTTAGAAGCGCCATTTTTACTCATGAATTATCTGCAAATCATTCAATTGCTTTATTTTTGTCTTCGTCCACTGCAAGTTGTGGCCTCGTGAAATTGTTTATCCTTAAACGGAAAACAACGACAAAATTACTCTGGGAGTCAGAAGGAACGTGAAAATACAAAATGCTCGACAGAAAGTAGAATCTTACCGAAAACGGCTTTGCACTGAAAGCGGCCTATCTAGCTAGCGTTATTCAACCATGTAAACTTGCAATATAAACTTTCTTTAAAATTCGCCGATTTAGAGTAAGAATTATTATACTTCTTCGTTATCAGTCAATCTAGCAAGCTCAAACTTTGCAAAAATCAAATAATATATGCTCTTTTTCATTCTGGGAAATGTATATGTACAATCGGTGTAACAAGTTATTTTAAAACGCGTTTGAACAGCACCCGAGCGAGTTCAGAATTCCGGGAGCAGACCCGTTTCTGTAACAAAGACGAACACTTTTGATCAATACACTTTAATTTCTTGTTCACTGCCGGTTTATTCTCTGTCGGTTTCTTTAAATTGTCGTAGCTGTTATTGCACGGCATGACAAGTAGATAAGTTTAGTCTTACGTAAGTTACCCGATGCAGTTGAGGTCAGTGGAATAATGAGGCAATGCCCTCGGTCAGTTCTACGAATCTTGACTTTCAATTTGAAAGAAAGGGTTGAAAATGACAGCAGTTTATAATGCTAATAAATTTAAATGATCTCATGGACTCTAACCGAAATAATGGAATGATGTTTGACAAGAAAGTTGATCAAGACAATATATGAAATAAGCCAAATTTTAGAGAATATTAAACAACATTATCAATTCGTTGCTCGTCATCTTCAAAGAGACTGTACTAATTTTTTCCCCTTAGACTGTGATATTTTACAATCAGCATACATTTTCTGGAATGTTTTTCGCGAGAATTTACATCTACAAAACAGCGAGAGCCGTGTGATGGCGCGCTTTATTTATGTTCGTGGCAATTTTCCACTTAACGCCCACTTCAAGATGGCGGCGCGGTTTAGATTTGTTCCGTCCCTTAAGCTGATATCCCGACTTATTAGGCCTGTACCAAGTTGTTAGCTCCCCAGTCCTCTGACTTCGTAAACCTGACCGAATTACTGGTCAAGGCCAAACCACCATCTCTTACTGAAAAACTATAAGCAGGGATCTCTCTCGAGATGAAGTTGGTCTACTCAAATATCACGCAGACCTTTACCCAAACTTTGTGCGGGTCAGGTTTGTATGGATTCTAAAATGAAACACCACCATCTACATCTTGGAAATTCAGGATAATGCAAAAAGATCTCTGGGAAACGGGTTAAAACAGTTAATCGGAAGTTTGAGCGGTCCCAGGATTCCTAGGTACCATTAAAGTGATCTTGGTGAGATACAGACTTGAATGCAATGTTGAATGCTGAAAGGTTTCTTTTCGCGAAATTTTAATACATCTTGATCTTTTAGACGATGATGCTTAGGACTGCAAAGGTGTTGTGAAAGCCTACAGTACGGTTTTAAGTTTTCCATAAACGGCAAAACAAACCAGATTACTTGACTTCTGGTAATTTTTAAAGTCACACTTTAATTAGGACAAACATAAGAAGGTATATAAATACAGCACTCCATGACAATTGTCTAGAAAAGCATCATATCTTAGAAGATACATAACATAAACCTTTTTTCTTAATTTCCCTCTTGAATCGAGTTTAGAATTTTTTTATTGTACAAGGTCGGCAAGACTTGGGGACTGGAGATGGGTTAAGAATCGCAAACTTGAAAACTTTCGGCGAAATTTTAAAAAGGTCTCACTCTCTTTGGTGCCTTCGCAACCTCGTTCCCAGGACCTTTCCCTTAGAGATTGGGGAAAGCCCTGGGAACGAGGCTGGTGTTTTTGTACCTCTCCTGCCGGTAATTTTGATCCAGATATTTGTGGATTCGTTTTGTTCAAGGAGAATTCTATATATGCAATAACGTAAAAATTTTAGTGGCACCGGGTTCCAATACGAACTCCTTCCTATACCCTGTCATAGCCTGTAATGCACCCCATGGGACACCCTGTGACTTACTACCCTACCTTTCTTCATCTGAACTCCCACCCCCTTATTAGAATTAAAATACAATCCCCCCCCCCCCATCCATCCCAGTGTCAATATAGGATTTCACTTATTCAATTATGGCATCTCCTTTTTCATGAAACACTGACATATTGGTAAGAAAGGAGTATGACGCGCCATCTGGAGGACCATTTGACCTTCAAGTTATTGTTATAGCTTTGGTCTTAACTGAATTTTGCTCTGCTGATATTCCGTCCGATTGTAATATGAACATTTCTCTCTATCTCTTATTTATCCCTGAGCTGTTATGCCAGGTATCGCTTTCTTGTTCGGCTCACAGAGCTTTTCTTTTGCATTAAAAATAACGAGATTCTGTACCTTGGTAGGGAGGGGGGAGGACTTCCATACGAAAAAGTCAGGGGCGCTAGTCGGGAAATTTGGATTAAACCCCTAACGGAGACCAACCTGGGATTTTAGCGTGGCTCGAGCTTTCTTTGACCCCTAAAAGGCACCACCTAATACGAAATAGGCTAGATTACCATGCAGCCGCTTTTCAGGACAGGAACCCGCGCCAGTAGACAGGACTCAAGAGACCGGCAGAAATTGAGCCTAAAACTGGAAACAGAAGCGTTTTTTATTATCAATTTTTCAAGTGCACCCTAAAAGATACTTTGACAGCTAAAAATGGTAGCGTTTCGTCATCAACGCTCTTAGTGAGACCGGAGCCTTGATTTATAACCCTAAGCGAGACGACAAGCATCCACGACCTTTTCATTTGGGAGCATCCCTCCCCCCGGGACTCTGAAGAATGTAGGTAACAGTTTGAGACTTGTCAAAGTGCCAGTACCTGGTTTTAATGTTGTTATTTTTAAGCCGGCTCCCAGGCCATCTCCGTTGAAGAGTTTCCTGTTATTGTTGACCTTGACCATCAGTTTGTTACACAAAGATATCAGATATCTTGGCCCTCCGGTTCTTCAATTTCTACGATCACGTTCCATTTAGCGCAACGCAGTTTTTGCATGAAGATGTTGCTCGTTTTAACTCTCGCATTATTTGTTGGCCTTGCAAGTTCACGACCAAGCGATAAAGCCATAGGTAAGGACTAGAAAAATCAGCAAAATATTTCTCAATAACCTATCCGATATTCCAATCTTTAATATGGTCTGCGTGAAAACTAGAAATGATTTCTCTTTCTCCTCTGAATGCGATTTAACCGCTAAAAACTGGTCCGGAGACGACAAGCAGTGTTTCCTGAAAAAAGTGACGGTGATAGCGAATGCAAAGCATTAGCTATATATTCTGAACAAATCTTCTTCGCGGAGAAACGATCTCTAGATTCTAGGACGCGAGGGAAACCACGCGCGATTCTTGAAGCCGCGTGACCTCGCGTGGCGTGTAGTGGGTTGATCGTTCTAAGAATGACATGACGTTTGGTCGTTTTCTTTCCATAGTTGATATTGACCCCAGCAAGTACTGTGGTTGTTCCACCGTGGACATGCCTCAATGCGGCTGCTGTGTGGACCTTGAAGAAATCATCCAAGAGAATTATACAGGTATAAATTCGTAAGGGTGACCCATAACTTATTTCTCCTTACATAAGCAAACAGGTGATGAGAACAACGAACATGATCAACTAGGGGATGTCACCTCGATGTCCCGACACTGGGATCCTTAGAACAACAGCATAGAACTGACCTTCACTAAGGAGAATTTACATTTTGACTTGCAGCCAAGTGGAATCTTTAGAGAACTTACATTTGTCGACCGTAGAATAGGCCCATTATTTTTTCCTATCTTTGTTATGGGTCGTACCATTATCACCTCTGTCCTGGCTCACTTCATTAAGTCGTTTCTAAGCGTAATTAATTATCATAAAAATCGCATGGTTTGAGCCAATGCGAATCGTACAAATTGCGTGTTGTCTTTTTTTGCAGTGTGCACAAACTTGACTTACGTGGAGGCCGAATATGTGAGTATACAGTGTGTTGTGTACATTTACCGCGATAAGGAAAATCGATCAATGAACTCATTTGCACACATGTGAAAGTCACAAACCCAAATTTGTCTGAAGAGCTTATAACCACCCTCTCGGAGTTATTTTAAGCCCAAATTAAAAAAAGTAAGTCGAAATGCAGAATACAAAAAAAAAATGTTTCATATACATGGCTCCTTTACCACCAATCTCCAGTAACCGCCAGAGCCAGCATGTTTCCTTGCCAGCGGAGAGGGATTGTGTACTCATGATCACTTGCTGTGGTGTAAGCATAACAAAATTTGAAGAAACTATTTGCAAACCTCTGTAGCCCATGGGTTATTTATCGAGTTTCTGTATTTTCAGGGAGTACGGTTTACCTTGACCATTAATGGTGAAGTTCTTTTGAACGAGACCATCTCTGGTAAGTCATAACTTTGCACTAATCCGTCCTAGACCCCTCTCTTTCTCCAAGTGAAGCAATTACCATATTTACTCGAATAAGCGCTGTCATCGATTGAGCGCCTCTCTCGAAGAACACGTGGCAGCGGAAATATTTAACGCCTGCACTCTTGACCAGCAAAGAATCGCTTACTTGAAAACTGAGATAAATAGACAGACAGACAGACAACCTTTATTTAAACACGATTAAAATCAGTAGCTAAAAGTTATTCGAGAAAGTTTGCGCTACTTGACTCCGACCGGAAAAGGGAGAGTGATGTTGATATTTAAATTGAGTTTTGATTATTGTTGCTATCACTATGAGATTATGAGTTTTCTGAATTAGCGAAAGCCCCGAATTATCCGAATATAGTAAGCGCCATATATATCGCAAAGTCCCAATGTTCAATGCGCACCGTTCTTCCTCGTCCCTCGACCCAAGCCCGAGCGTTTCACCAAGCCGCTGACCAAGCTGAGAAAATACAAAAGAATGCTTGTTTTCTTGCACAGGCAGGAATCCCCCAGCCCTGTGTGAAGGACTGAGGGACGTTGCTGATATCTGCGTGCAGGTATACAACATGTCTTATGAGGAGGAGAAGTTTGGCGGTTGTTTGAGAATCTATGGCGATGTTGTGACACGTGTTCTTGACATCGAGCTTGGCTGTTATTACGTGCCGCTCTCTGACGGCGAGCTGATTGAGACTGCTGTGGATGAGCAGGCCCTGGTGCATTCGCTTTTCCAAATCGGCAACAACGCAAAGGATCTCATACTGGATGAGATGCACAAATGGTCCCACAAGGATGGTGATCTCGGCAAGATTTATCATCGCAAGGAGGATGGCTTTCCTGTTGAGCCACTGTTAGAGACCGTTGAGGAAAATTAAAATCAGGTGCAAAGAATTGCATGGAAGGCTTCTTTTTTAAGGTTTTAAGGTAATAGATACTTAAATTGGGTAGAGTCAAACAGTCCCTGTGTCTCGTTTGTATGAGCTAGAAATGAGAATAAACAACTGATGAGAAACAAACTGTTTTGATTGATAATCTAATTTTGTGGTAAAAATTGACGCTATAAGCGAACGACGTTTGGACCGTTCAACGGTCATTTTCAAGTTCGGTAGAATAAACGTCGTTCGCTTATAGCGTTAATTTTTTATCACAAAATCAATTTCAAAGAACTTATTGATTCGTAATCTAATTCTCCTAATGAAAATTTTAACATTTTAAGGACACTAAAAATCAAGAAAACTTCGAAAGAATTTTTTAAAAGGAGTACAAGAAAATAACAGAACAGGAGACTCCTGGCAAATAGAAACAAGCCAGGCACACGCGACTTACACGATTTCAGTTTCCCTAGTGAAAATGATTTTCAGTTCGTTTACAACTCGCGTGACTTTACGTCATTTCTACTCGCGCGACTTTACTTAATTTGCGACTTTTCTCGTGTCTCACGGATGATAAATATCGATTATTTTAAACTTAAACCCTGAGATATAAATCAAGACTACTCACAAGTCACCATCTTGTTTTGAGTATGCAGGGCCGCGATTACGATAGACAGTCCTTTGAAGTTCGCCGGTTTTCATAACCAGTCTCTTTGCTAAGGGGAGGGTTGGGAAATTTCCAAAAAAAAACCACAACAAATCGTGCCAGGGGAGCAATGGAGAAAAAAACAAACAAAACAAAAAAAAAGCACTTTCTGCTCTCCAGGTCATATACTTCACTTTTGGAAAACAATCTTGCATAAGCTATTGCCCACCAGAAAAAAAATCATTTACAACCCATAGGTGAGGAAAAAAATATAATGCCCCAGAAAATTTCCCTACCCACAACCCTCCCTCCTCCTTGCCTCAGAAAAAAAAATGGCTCGTCCCTAACTATGTTTTAAATGTAAAATAATTGTTTGAGTCAAAGACAATGTATTTTAAAGGCCATAGCTATACACTTCAATATCTGGCAGTTTAATCAGACCTGCACAAGCAAAACTTCATTAAGTATCACACCAGGCCATGTGATGTACGCGTTGTCTTTCACGATCTCCGCGTGATTATTGTGGACTTGGTTTACATTTGATGAAAATCGTCAGAGAAATCAGTTTAATGACGATGCTTCTGTCTGTATTGCTCGCGTTTTGCTTTGGTGGCTTTGCTACGTCAAGCCAATATAATGAAGTCCAATTTCCAGGTAAGCAAGCAAACCTAATCCACTGTAAATCGGGAACTTATGTTCATTTAATTATAACCGTATAGTGCACTCGAGAAAAGTGGACGCCGTTTGGTGTGTAGATGACGCGGAAGCCGAACATTTTGCTCAGAGATAAGTTCTTTCATTGACAGCATTCTTATCGCGGGAGAATTCTGATAAAAGTTCATTGGAAACATTAACACTGTTTTTTTCAGAATGAGTCTAACGAGTCCGCGACAACTTTCATTCTTGGAAAGTGGCGGGTTGAGAAAGGGGTGCTTGTCTCAACGCTTAGACTGTAAAGTCCGATCTTTTGCAGCCGTTACGTGGGTCGTCTCGAGACACCGTTGCATATCGACCCAAATAAAGGCTGCAAAGAAGATTACTAGAGTGCTAAAATATAAACTGACTCCATTCGAGCCGCACCCACAAAACGCTAACCTGGCACCCTTAATGTCTTTCAGTCATAATTCGACGAACATCCACGTCCATTTTAGAAGACATTTCTAATCCGGTGTCATAAGTTGAAACATTAATAAACAATACTTTCCCTCGTTTGTTTCACGTCAGGATTTGGTCTGGGAGGGGGAGAAGGAAGTTTGCGAGGGGAGGGGGAGGTGTAAGGGGGTTTTATTTCTGTAACTAGAAATACCTTATGCTGTTGGATTTCAAATAGCCTGAAAATAACATGCATGAGTATATTTTGTTCAACAATCGTGGATATCAAGTCGCAATCTTTTCGAGTGTTGTTAAATCTTTCTTTAAATCTTTCATCTTTCCCCAAGCCACCCCACTCTTGACGCAAAAGAGATTCTCAAAACGAAACAATGGCAAATATAGACATTTTATCAAAATTTCAAGTCATGTGTTCAGTGATCATGATTGATATGAGACAATGCACGTGACAGATAGAGAAAAGTCACAAGTTTCGATGGATGCGAATGAATGAATGCGTAGGAGATGTAGACCTGAGCTAACACAACGAGAAAAAGTAAATAGCAGAAAATTAAAGTAGCTCGGTGAAAGAAACTTAAACTAAACTTGTTCACTTCAAGTAAGTCTTTGAGCAGATAATTGATATCAGTTCTTTTTGGTTCGACCTAATGTCATCAGATGAAATGAGATTCCCAGGTTCTAAAGAGACGGTACATATTGGGGTCTAACGATTAGAATTATACGATCGACTTCATTTGATAGTTTGAACAACGTTACATTTGAGACAGGTCACCGGAAGGAGAGGTTTGGCGGTCGTCCAGGAATGTATCAAGATATCCTGTCACGCATTCAATATTGATATCGAGCTTAGCGGTCATTAAGTACCTTTGTATGAGCTTTTAAATAAAAATAAACAAATGGATAAAAAAACAAACGAACAAACTTCTTTGATGTAACTGACGCTACCGCAACACGTATTGTCATCGGTTTTTAGACATTTTTGCATTTTTTTCTTACGCCGATCTGTTTTGACCAAACCCTGGACAGATACAGGCGAGGCCATTGGGGTGCATCCGATAGCTTAGGCTGCGTTCTCTAAAATTTCATATTCGGCCGGCTTTTATACCATGCAGTAAGAACATTTGAAGAATTTTTCAAGAAGCCCAGGGAACCAACAACGATCGCATATCGATCGAGTCCAAGAAATCGTGAACAAAATGAGTTACCATGACTCTTCATTCATCTATAGTAGGTCAACGAGAGCAAGCGCGCGAAGAGCCTGCGCGGAGCCGAGCATGCCTACATGCCGCGCGAGCAACCCGAATCAGCCATCAAACAACCGCGTCTCGCGACATTGATCGCGTGTGCCTCACCTCCTCTCCCTGCTCCTTATTTTTTGCACTCCCTCGCAGTTTCGTTCCCCTCGCGTACTTTTTTTGGAAACGCCTGCGCAGGCTAGCCCATATTGTAAATAAATCGTCAAAAAAGGAAATCTTTGTGTCATTTTCATGTCATTTTATATGATACGGCATAAGGTGCGTCTGTTCCAACAGTATCTTAATTAAAGCCCCCTTTAATTTTAAATAACTAAATGACAGATTTTCCTACCTTAGATATACCTCAATTTTCAATATCGCTACTCTTTAATATACCTTTATTATGAAAAAGCTAAATAGGTACTCCTTTGGGGCACAGCCACCCTGTATAGTACCCCCCCGGACCTTGCGCGTGACTGGAGCGTCGCGGCATGTAGACAAACAGCTACAAATGGCGTAAACATAATTCGAGAAGGGCTTAAGTTTTCGTCCTAATTCTAATGATATAAAATAGCTTCTTCTGATCAGAACTAGAGTGAACAAACCATACCCTCTTTAAGACAAAACTTGGCTAAAATATACAACCTATTACGGACCAAAACAGCTCAAAAAGCCATACTCTGACCGCCGCACAAACCTGAAAAGCCCACATTAGGGAGTATCCCCCCCCCCGGTTCTATCAAACCTGCAGTGGCAAAAATAACAGTCATTCGCCTCAAAGAATATGATCCCTTAGGCCATGTGATATACAATACCTATCATATTGTCTTTCGCCACTTTTGATAATCTCGGCGTAGTGAACATCATCAAGAAAATTTTTTGACGATGCTTCTCTCTGTATTCCTCGCTTTTTGTCTCAGTGGCTTTGCAGCGTCAAGTCAAATTAATGAAATCCAAACTGCAGGTAAGCGAGCAAACGTAATCCACCATAAATCAGGAAATTTGCCCTTCATTTACTAATGAACGTATTCAACGAGAGAGAAGTAAACGGCATTTGGAGTTAAGATGACCTTCAAGCGGAAAACATTTTGAGCAGAGATTTGCAACAACGTTCTTAACATGGCGGAACTGTGATAAGTTTTCTGTGGATTGCAATCTTTTTACAGTTGTCTTCAGAATGCCTCATGCATACTCTCGGAGCTCGGGGACCAAGGGCCCGTTTCTCGAAGGTCACCAAAAGTTTTCCGACCCAGAAAGCCGTAGCAAAATCTCAAACCTTATGATTACAGAGCTTTTTTATTCACATATTCTTAATATGAACAGAGGTTCTCTTCATAGAAGACGTTTCAGGCGTATACGCCTCTCTGTTTTTGGATACAAATAGGGCCCGAAAAGTTTCCGGGGCTTTCGAGAAACGGGTCCCTAGGCGGACATTATATTCCTGCAAGACAGGGCTGCTTTCCGTAGCGCTTATAGTATAGTCTCCAATCTTTCGCAGCCATTACCTGGGTCGTCATGAGAATTCGAAGCGTTGCATATCGACGCAAATAACGGGTGCAGAGGAGAGCATGAGTATATTTTGGTTAACGATCGTGAACGTCATTAAGTCGCAATCTCTTCGAATGTTTGTCTAAGTGAGATCATTCTCCTTTCCCCGACCCACCCTACTCTTGATCATGACGCAACAAAGATTCTGAAATCACAGGTCGTAGTTCAGTGATCACGAGAGACAACTCACGTGACAGACAAATAAGAAACGTCATAAGGATCCGGAGAGGGAGTGGGGAGGGCAAGTAAGTCTATCGCACAGCGTGCAGCGCTGGGTTACGTTTTAAAATCATCGGAGAAATTATTGCAAAAACACTCCATTCAAAATAATTACTTCCTTTATTGTCGTCGTCGTTGTTTGATCTTTCGTAATGTTTTTTACTACATAGTGTCCTTAGAACCAGGTTTGGCTGGAAATAACCTCTGTGGCTGCAGCAAAGAACCTGTTCCCCAATGTGGCTGCTGTGATGAATTTGAATTTGACGGAAAAGACCACAAAGGTAAGCAATTTGAAAACGAATGTTGCTGTATCTTCTCCAGGCCAACTCTGACACAATGAGCAGTCGGAGGACTGGGTCACTTCACTCTCGCCTTCTGAAATTTTCTTGCTGTTGCTGGTTTATGTCAAAAACGGAAAGAACATTAAAAAATTGCCTAATTTTCTCATAATTCAACAAAGGAGAAGATAGCAGAACGTCTGCCAAGGCAAGAAAGGAGTTAAACACTTTTTTTAAAGCTTAATACCTAGTTTTTGCTGTTTTTTTTGTTTTTTCAAATTACAAATTTCCTTTCGCGATAAACTTCAGTAATGACTACTAAGGAATTGTTGTAGTGCACTGACATGATTTTCTTGTTGTCCCTTTAGTCTGTATGAACATGACGTATGTAAAAGAAGAAAAAGTAAGTTTCTCAATCAAGTAAATCTTTCGCTTAACTCTTTTCAGCTCAAAACGACGTACAAGTCAATGTTTAGCTAAAAGATGGTAATTTAGAAAATTGATCACACGTGGACAACAGCCAATAGACATACTACATGGATAATTATATCTCTAAATAAAAGGTTAAAAAAGCCCGGCCAACCACACGCAGCATTTCAAGGCAACATGTTGCAACTTTATGAAGACATGATTGATCATCGCAGTTATATACACCATCAGGAGCTCATTAACCGGAGCCTCCGTCTTCTATATTACCCCTGCGAGTCAACCCTTTCCGGATCCCGTTTTTTTCTGTTTTTAGAAACAGCTCTTGTAGGAGCTTTCACATGACCCCTCTTTAATAGCCAAAGATACCCGGCTGAGCTGAGACCATTCTCAGTGTTACAACAAAGACTAGGAGCCCCCTTTGGCCTCTATTTTGCTTTTTTCATTTGTAGGAACAAGATATTTCGTGGGACATAAGAGACCCTTGTGCTAATTAACTGCAGTTCTAAAAATGAATGATATGGGAAAGGGCTGACTCTAGCTTATAGTACGTATGGACACTCCGGGTGATAGGCTCCCAATAAAACTTATGCAGCTGTGAAATTAAAGCCTGAAAAAGAAATAAAAATCAGGCTTGGACGGGTGCAGTGCTCTACCAACTGAGCTATCAAGGCATCAAGCCATAGCAACTTTGCGCTCAAGTTGCCCACGTTTGTTTACACTGCTGCATCAGCCAGCATATATTGGAACATATAACAAAGTTAAGGGATCGCCAAATGTGCGCAAATCCCTACATGTTGTGCGCAACACAATTTTTTTAATATATTGTTTTTTATGTTACGTGCTCTTTGGCGGCCCTCAAAATTTTTTGGGCCTAATATCAATCGCCTCTATCTCGTGCGCGCACTTGCAGGAAGTTGTGCGCTGCTTACCCGGGTTTGTAGCCTGCGGACGCAGACGTTTTTCCGCACTCGAAGGCTATTGGGTTTGCAGTGGTGATCTTGGCTGATGTTTTGCCGTTGTCGTTGTAGGGATTACGATTTACCGTGGTTTTTGATGGAAAGGTGGTGTTTAACCAAACGCTCTCAGGTAAGACTGGAACTCGTCTGAGTTCCGAGGGTTGAATTTTCGCGGGAAGGGCAACGGGGAAAGATTGTGAAAACTGTAAAAAAAAAAAAAAAAAAAAAANCACCGAAAGCTACCCATTGAAACACCCCTTTAGATGCACACGTCTAGCAACGCTTTAGTTACAGGAAGCATTACATAAAGTCAAGAGAAAAAGTTCAAAAGTAAAAAAAAAAAAAAAAAAAAAAAGTGCGAGACCAAGCGGCGATATCGACCACACGGGGAAACGTTTCAGAGAATTTCAATTTGGAATAGCTTATTATTGAATTTCTCTATTTGGTATGAGACAAATCGACTGTTATGGAATCTGATCTTCAAAACAGAATGATATAAGAAAAACGCCGCGGTCAAGGGACTTATCAACCTCGTGCTTAAGCTCTCTCTCCTGTGCTTCCCTGAAGAGACAGCCTGGGAACCAGTGGCGTCATTGTTGGCCATTGTGACAAATTGTCCTCTAGATGTTGTTCGCGTTTCGCGCGGGGTAAAATGAATATTGAACTTGATGATATTATAACTGTCTTCTATCCTTTCCAGCCAAACACCCGCCTCCTTTTTGCCAGGGTACTTGCCCGCTGGCGTGTATTTGTGAAAATTACTACAATTTGTCTTACGGCGATGACAACAAGTGGGGTGGGTGCCTGGAGATCTATGGCGACCTCGTGATACGGGTCCTTGATATCAAGTTTGGCTGCTTTTATTTGCCGGTGCCCCATACTGAACAGGAGACAATTGTGAAGCCGATCGAGGACAAGCTTAATCAATCAGTGCTTTTCAACGATATGCAGCAGTGGCTCCGTAACACGCTTGCCAAGAAAATGCGTGATCGCCGGCTCAAGAAAAAGAACCCACTAAATTTCCTTTACAAAAACCGCGTGGAAGAAGACAACGAAAAATAGTCAAAGTTTCTGTTTGTATCACTGGCTAAAACGTGGCTAAAAATATACGATTTAGTGTTGAATGTGATTATATATGACAAGCTTGTCAGTAAAAGTTAAATTAAAGTAGCTCGCTGATAGTGAAAACCAGACTTGTCGAAGTAAATCTTAAAGAACATCATATAGTTGAAATTCTTTTTCATTAGTGTTATCAACTGCTTTATATGGAGGAATGTGATTCCGAGGGTTCCATGTAGTAAAAAAACGATACATTTTGGAGTCTAATAATCAGAATTTTATGATTAAAGATCATTTTGGTAATTTGAGACAAAGTCATGTGATAAGTTTTTGAAATCACTTTTGTATTTGAAAGTACACAGTGCAGGCAATGTCGGAGTGGTACGCATCAGGATTTGAACTCAATGTAATCTCGCCATAGACGCTTGCTAAAGGTTATAAAATAAAATCATTAAAGTTGCTATGTGGCAGTTTCTCCTTATGTCGCAAAATCGTGTAGCTTGTTCTTCTCAATCAATACATTTCATTTCATTTCATTTGTGAACCATTCAAATATGCGCCAGGTTTATATCTGACTGACGCCATCTTTCCTGGTGTCTCCTCTGCTAAAGAGTACGGGGCGAACATACAAGTAGATTCTTTCTCCTCCCCAGAGGCTCCCTAGGGGAGAGGGAAGTAAATTAGGAGTGAGTAGGTGCGCGGGGAACGAATGAAAAGAGAGAAAGGTCGCGCGCTTGCGTTATTCACTCTCTCTAAGCCCACACGGTCAAGACAACACGAAAGAGGCCTCTGAGGAGGAGAGAGAGGTAGATTAAAAAGAAAGCATTGTAACGTTGTGAACTCTCTCTAGTTTATCACGTTTTAAAACCAGGAAAACTTGCCATTTGGTTTCCTCATTTAGTTTGAAATGTTGGGGGCCAGTTTATTTCAAAAAGGGACATAACTTTCTGTATAGCCTATTGATTTTGTTTGAGTGATCTATGCAAACTTCCTGTTTCTTCTGCAGCGGCTAACAAAACACAGTGAGTACCAATAATAAAACCAAACGGAAACTCACCCATAATACTCCTTTCCGCCTGTGCACTATACTGAAGAGTTGTGGCCAGACCAAACAGCTTTTCATGGCCACTAACGCTTCTCCGCGCTTTTCGCATTGCAAGACTTTTGGATAGGAAGCTATGGCAAAATATTCGCTAATTATACTTGCGGGAAAAGGACTGACCCGGGGAGAGCTTATGAGCCCATTGCCGTCCTCCTACCCCTCCCCCTCAAATTATTGTACAGAGATGCTCCCCCCCCTTGGGGTAGATCAGCTGAAGTGACGTCCGGAAATAGCAGCAGACTCCGACCTTAGATCTCTGTCTCTTTCTCGGATCTTCGCAATATTCATGCACTTTTCTCCTGATAATCGTCAACATGTATTTACACAAGGCAAGCCTTTTCCTGTGCGGAGTTACCATGCTTCTTGCTTACTCGGCAAGCTTCAAGTTGAACTCAATCGGTCAGTATTTTTTTTTTATTTGTTCGTCATCTCGTGATTTGCCTTCTGCGTCTAGTCTATGCACTCATTTTCTGTACAAATAACGCATTTGTCTTTCAGATTCGATGAGCTCGACTGCTCCGTACAGCGATGGATGTCAAAGCAGCAATTCGACAATCTCTTGTTGTCAAACTATTTCCGTGTACAGATTTAGTCAAACAGGTAACCAAAATATCCACTAATACCAAACCAGCTCCTCGCACGCGCGCGCGCCAAGTCGTCGTAGCACGCATTAGCGTGCATACGCGCGTGATTAAACACGCGAGGTTTGACCGAATCCTCGAAGATATTTTTAACCTTGAGTTACTTTCTTGCAGTTTGTGTGAATGTGTCAAGCATGGATAAACAGAATGTAAGAACCCTGATCAATCTCTTGCTATTAAATGAAACAATGTGAAAACTCTCCCTCTCACAGACCCAACTTTGTATTCCTTCGTTTCTGCAGGTTCTACCATTTACACTTTCTGTCAAGGGAGCTCTCTACATTAGAGACACATACTCAGGTATGGAACAGACACTATAATTATGACAGCTGTATTGTTTTCTGTTTGGTTTTTTAACCAGGATTTCAAAACATGAATTGATTGGTCCTCTCACTCCACAGACAGCAAGCCACAGCCATATTGTTTTGAATACGATGACCAAGCAGCAGTGCACCTGTGTGCGATATTCTACAACACAACATTCACTGAGACTCAAGTGAGCGCCTGCTTAAAGCTGAGCATTCAAGTTCAAGCTCAGATCATTATACCCTTGAAATGTTTTACTCTTTCAAGGCCTACTGCTATCACTGTGAGAGGAGAGGACCTGGAAAACATTGTCACCGAGATTATGGTTTAAAAGCAATGACGGAACTGCAAATGTTTACTATCACCGGTTTAGTAGTTCTTTATTGTTGAAGTTTCTTTTCTAACAATGTTCCATGACAAAAATAACGAGTCCAAGCTACAAATTGATACTAAGTTATATAAAATCGCTATCTTGTTCGAGCTCACTCCCATTGCTAAGTGTACATCTAGGTGGCAGTTTGCAATAGAATCAATCAATGTTACAATCAGTTGTCAGGTTTCACATAAATTCCCTCCTGAAACAGAAAGACGTATGCATTAGACAAGAAAAACAAGAAACATACAGAGTTTAGGAGTAGTCAAATAATTTTCTAATAATGCTGTTAGAGGTGTACGGGAAAGGAAAATCCTTGTCTTTGATTAGATACATTAGCGCACACCCATTCTTGTTTGTACACACTATTACATCTACTTGCGATTGGTCAAATAGTAAGGTTTTGGTCGCCAAGCTTTAAAGAACCTGCTCATATCAACTCAAGCCCACAAAACAGGATCTTGGTACCTCTTAGGGATTCTTTACAAATTTTCCAACCAGCACCCCAGTCCTTTCTATTTGGGAGTCCCCCATCTCCGGGTTCATGGGTCCACTGCAAATACCTTGTATTAGTTACAAGTAATCAGCGAAAAGTGTGTGAATCTGCTTGTTGCTAATAAACTCAGAATCTTTATTAGTACTCATTAATGAGTCGTTTGTGGATTTTTCTATTTCCTATTTCCTATTTCCTATTGCCTTTAAAAATAAATTACTTTGGCTGTAAAGAAAAGGAACATTTTTAACTGGTCTGTGAAAAGTATGCACGCGATACTCAAAAAGTTTAACTTTGTGTCGTGAATGGTAACAAGGCGCCATGAACTGCCAATCAGGACAGGACTTACCGTTGCTTTCCATTCATTGGCTGCTTCAGGATAACTATAACCACTGACTTCTCTCTGACCGTTAATGGGTCGGCCAAACTGATCTCCAGTTATATGAAGATAACTGCAACAAAAACAAATTCTGGTTAAATTCTTTTTATTAAGTATCATGTAAAATATCAGACCCATTTCCCATTACAAAAAGAGTGCCAGTTTTTCATTTTTATGATCAAACTCCCGCAAACTTGGGCATTTATCAGTATTTTAAGTCTTCCAGAACAAAACAGCTTTGTTTGATAATAGTGTCATCACCAACAAACTAGTGACTACTGGATTCTGGAGCAAAATAAGTGAATCTGAGAAAGATAAATGTTTTGGAGGAAAACAAACTCATGTCAGATATACTGCCTTTTTTTTCAACACTAATTACTCTGTCAACCATTCAAAGCCATCTGATTCCAGAACTGATTTCCCTTTAAAGAAGCTACATCACAGTTTGTGCCTGTCATGGTTTAGCCTAAAAATGTTTCAAGTTTGTTGTTTGTAATCTGTGTTAAATAAATTACCCATCTCTGTTCTCTTAAGGTTCATTATCATCTCTTTGGTTTTTCGATCTAAGTAAACTACTATTTGCAGGTTTCCTAAAATTTAAAGGTAATTTTGCATTGGGACAAAATAACTCAAAATTCCATGATGTGGCTTTTACCATCCATTTACAGTTCCTAATCAGTGAATGCTTACATCCACCATTGCTGACCAGTAAAAAATACTGTGAACTAAAGACTTGGGATGAACACCCCAATATCAACAGCATACTGTAATCAACTTGCCAGTATGTGTAGTTACGTACACTTTAGTTGCTGAATGTTTGAATCTGACTTTATCCTGTCGTTCCCAAAACTTTGTTGAACAAAGAACAGACCAGTGATCTCCCTCATCGCCTTGTCCATTCTCACCAAATGCACTCACTTCCTGGTTATGAGAGATCGGTGACTGAAAGTGATGACTGTGAAGATTGCGTTTGGTTGCCAAGTGTTGTAATCTTAATGTGCTGCCACACTTAACTGGACTCCTGCCAAAGGAAACATGCCTAATTATTTACTTATAGAAGCAATGACTAGAAGGTGTACTGCTAAAATACAAATTTAAACAATAATTCCTACCTAAATCCTAACCTTCTAGGAGATACCTCCAATATATTATTATATATATATATATTTTTATTATTATTTACAGTGTGGCAAATAAAAGATGATGATGATGATGACAATGATAACCTCTTTCTGCTTTGACCAGCATAACTAACAAATTTACAGTAAGCAACTTAGTGACTATTTATTCAGCTTAAAAGTACAAGACATCTACTTCTACATGCATGTCAGATTTATCGACAAAGTTTTGCTATTGCACTTCTTCATGAATAATGAACTTGCTGAGAAAGATCTACACTACAGTTCTTGTGTATCTGCCTTCTGTACACAGTCCTTTGATAAGAGTTATAATCTTACCCTCGTTTACATGGAGCATCTGTTTTCCCTCTGACCACCCAGTAACTGTTGCCATCATCTGCACTCTCAACTCCTGTAACAGACTAAATTGTCCACAGTAATTGTAAATCAGTGAGCATTCTTAGCAGCATTTGATGTTGTGACAAAAAACTATTAGTAATATGTACTTACTCATGTCCCTGATATTCTAAAATGAAGACAAATTATGCGGAATTTCCAGACAATAATATTATTTGGAGGCTCTAAGATCTCGGAGAAAATTTATTTTTTAGTGGAAGACCTATTATTTCCATTATGATTTTCTTTCTTTAAAATAAACCAATCACATCTTTACACCTGTTGTGTGAATAATTCATAAGATATCAGATGTTCAAACAGTTGAGAGAACTTGTTTTAAACTCTTTTATTCTTTCTGCTGATAACAGAAACATCTTGCTATAATTTATTTCAACAATGAGCATAAGTGTAAAAATATTCTTATTTTTCGTCTATACAGTGGTTTTAACCACTGATGATATCATGCATAAGAAGAACTTCAGTCTCTTTATAAACCGAACTGACAGCAATTTCCACAATCAGAAATCCCATCCCTTTCAAAATGTTTTATTTCCGTGTTGGTGAGTGAAAATCTCGCCCCAGTTCACCAACCGGAAACATCACAAGCGAATTAAAATCTTCCACGTACAGTTCACAAGAGTTGAACAACTTTATCTAAATTTTTACTTAGTAACAAATAGAATCTATCAGCGATATTTCTTTCGCCACTAGAACAGCCATAAAAATCTGAAAAAAGCAATAAAAGAAAGAGAAAAAAAGCAATCTCAATTCGAAGATTCGCAGTTTGATTAAGCTTAATAGCTGTAATGTGTTCCAGCTTTTCAGCTGTGTATTGAAGTTTCGTCATATCTTAAAAATGTAAGGTTATTGAGATTTCTACAGTGAAATCAACAGCTAAACCTTACATGTTCCGGATTTCAATGACTACCGTGAACCCTGGAATTTGTACAACTCAATTTGAACTTCGCACGTTCGAAACTTCGTCCATTTCACCTTGACGAGAACAGGAACTACAGTCACGCCAAAAATATAAATTACGCTTAATACGATTGCCACTAATGCCATATCCAAATGTTTGTAGCGAAATTATTAGGAACAATCGCCTCGCGTAGTTCTACCTTTCGGTCCGAAAATTGTGCTTGAAAAATAAGGCACAAGTAAACTCGGGCAACATGCTGCGAGTATGTGAGAACTTATCATATCCACTCAAGCTTCAAGAATATAACATCACACCTGTTGTCCGCTCCCTGAACCATATTTAACCTCATGAGAATGAAGACGAACATTCTGTTTTGGATTATGCAGCTTTAAAACGCTTCCACATGTAACATATTTAAAATCTGAAACACAAACAGAACAGAATTCTTCATAAGCGTACGTAGGTTCAGTACCAGTTCTGTTTTGCAAATATTTTGCTTTCTTACTCACCTCTGGAATCTCCTAATGTACTACTGGACAGCACAGATAATAAACTTATCAATAAATAGGCGTATTTAACAAATATACTCGTTCTAACTGTTTTTATAAAGGGAAAAATGCAAGCTAAAGTCGCGGCCATATTGAATCAACGAAAAAGAACGCTACACGGTCGCGCCGGGCTTTTTCTCAGCTGCGCCTCGTTTTCATGTAAATACCAGTCAAGCCAGTTTGAGTCACGGTGGCTGTGACCGTCACGCAACAATTTGGGCTAAATTTTGCCCCACCTTGATAATGTGCTGCGTTTTTCCCGCTTAGATAATACTTATTAATTATTTTCAAACTAATTCTGGCAAATGTGTGTAAAATTAAGTCCAGAAGCTGGATCAGGTCCCTGGGGATCAGGTTCACACAACTGAAACCCCAATTAATCTTGCAGTAATTTTATTAAAATATTATCAAGAGTTAAACTTTTTCTGTCGAGGGAGCAAAATATGGTTTAATAAAATGTAATGGCTTTTTTGTTGAATCAATGCAAACTAGCAACAGTTTTAGAGTCATTTGTCTTAAAAACCAACCTGCAAAAGTTAGGACTGTTTGAACAACTTTGTCATAGCAACAGATTTTAATGCTCTTTGTCTGATTTTAGTACTGAAAAAAGCTTTACAGACGTACAATTCATCAGCATATTCAGGACAACTGATAACTGAGAATCAGAAGAATTTTAGGCTAATCTTTTCAAGACTGATCGTTATCTGTATTACTGTGGCCTCGTTTCAAGTTTAAGGACAATCAGCATTAACATATCTTTTATTAAAAGACATTTTCTACAACTTTTATAACATCTCATTTACGAACTTTGTGCCCATCCTTTCATTCTAGTTCATTCTCTAATGGCATTAATTTAATGCTATAATGTAAAAAAGGTTCCAGTAATTTTACTAGACTGTCCTCTGGCCTTCCACACATTCAAAATAAAATCTGTGACATATATTATACCAAAGTCTTAACTGAGCAACAAAACTGAACCACAGGATAATAACAGCCCTCTTCATAGTTATGTTTTCTTTATTTTCCATCATTATATATTACAAAGTGAATGTGAAGAAATTTTGGGCTGTTTTGCCCAAAATTGTCCCACATCTGTGTTGAAATTGAGTATTTAAATAAGACGAATTAAGCATGAAAAAGGCTATTGAAACAGGTGCAATAACTAAACAGGTTTGATCTACACTATAAATTGGCCTAGGATAAATTAAAAAAAAACATCTTGTGCACAAAATATAATCTTGAGGAAAAAACTATCTTAGTTCATCTTTTCTCAGTCTTGACAACTTGTTATTTAACTTTCTTGCTTTTGAATAATTAACCATGTTATATTGTTGACCTACAAAATGAGAGACAATGTATTGTTAGAATGGTTTGCAAGAAAATTCCCAAGAAATCGTCAATAAAAAATAAATATACATAAAAAAATAACCAAATAACCAAATAAATAAATAAGTACAATACATCAGGGTTTTACATTACTGAGTAGAAGAGGTGTAAGAGTATTATTGTCTAACACTAGTTAGTGGATGTTTTGCTAGATGAACTTACATGAATTAAAATTACACTTTTTAAATTATCAATGAAGAGCACAGTAATCAGGTAAGGAAAATAGACTGAATACAAATAATACGAAATAAAATAATGCATCTTTCAAGTTGGAAACATTATCGCTGCTGAAACTTCAATGAAGCTTTGAATGCAATTTAGTTCTTTGAGTAATAATTTTTCAATGGAATTTTTTTTTGACAACTAAATACTTGTATTGAAGTTGGGTGTAAATGTAAGTATAATGCAGCAAAACTATGATAGCCTTTGTTCATCTTGATCTGTTCATTAAATAAATAAGTTTACAAACAATAGCAGCCCAAGAAAGTTTCTTAAAAAATCTTAATCTTGTAATTCAGAAGCCATCCCACAGTACTATAAGCTAGAACTCAAATGATGAAATGCACAAGGCAAGAAAGCTCATAATTTCTGAGTTTTCTGTCATTTGGAAAAAATCAAGAATAGCTTAACTTGGGAATAATTGACAAGTTGAGCTTTTCCCATTAATTATGAATAAGTTTCACGAAAACTGACAATTTCCTTTTTACCAGAATGATTTTTTTTGTTCACTGAATTACTTAGGGATTACTTCAACTAATACCAGTAATAATTCAATTTACCCTCCAGTGTCATCTGGCTCGTCTTTCCCCTTTCTGCGTCCTTTTCTTTTCTTTTTCCTTCCTATCCTCTGCCTTTTGTTTTTGCTTTTCCTTTGCCTCTTTTATTTGCTGTTTTCTTTGATCATTTTCTTCCTTCATTTTATCTCTCTTCTCTTTTTCTTTGTCTGTTACTGATTGAGCATTCACATTCTTGAATAGTCCTGCAGGTGAATGGACAGTTTTTGAGAAAGTATAAAAATCATTCTTCAATACAAAAAAAAAAAAAAAAAATAAAACTGTGGTATATTTGTATCTTCTAACAAACCTGGGTCCTTATCTGGAGCTCTGGTAGCTTGTTCCTCATCACTATCAGCAGTAGGCCAAAGTTAAAGATATCAAATTGCAAAACAACAGAGTTTTAATAGCATTGCTACACTAATCATCATTGTTGGGTCATAATTTTTGCTGATATTTTAGGAGTTTGTTCTATTTGTAAGACGAACTGTTTTGGGTGTACAGTTAACATTAACTTAACATGTGGGAGTCTGAAAAACTTGAAAGAATTTTTATCTCACATGGCTATTTTTAACAACTTCTTTGTTATTATACATGTACCCAGGCTTCATTTTTGTATGTCCTTTGTTTTTTTCTCCTCTGGATGTACTTTTGTATGCTATTTTTAATCATTTCCTAATTTTTTCTGCCAGAAGTATTTATATTAACATTTCTTAAAACTAGGAAAAGCGAATAGTTATCATGCTGATCAGTCAGAGGACTTATCACTTATAGAATGTTAAAGGATATCAGAGTTCCTCATCTGATTCATGTCCATATTGTGCCACTAGAAGTCTCTTGATTTCACCATCTGATTTCTGTTGTGATGATTTTGTTGTACACACTGTAGATGCTTGTTTCTCCATTATTTCAGCCAGTTTGTGCTGCTTTTCTGCTGCTTTCTGTTCTACATAAGAATAGCAATTATTGATGTTGGGTTCCTAACCACAAAATCTTAAAAATTGATCATTAAATTCTTGTCAAAGACTCTGGTATGTGGTGGTTATAAAAAGTTCTGTGGTGCCCTTTTCAAAAACAATCTTTCATTAAAATGTAGCACTGTTTATCCAAACTGAATTAACTAACTAGTTAAGTATTAACATTTAAATTTCACGTGTTGAGAGGTTACACGATTTTTACCTTTCACTAGTTTTTTTTCTTGCAAAACATTTGCTCTTGATGTTTTCCATCTTTCAATAACTTCATTGCACAGATCATCTAAAGGATATTCCTGCAGTGGAAAAAAAAAATCTTGAAAAAAAGGTTGAAAATATTTAAGGGTGGGAGGCTTAGGGGAGATTCGTGAAGATAAACAAACTAGAAAATCCTGGAGTACATCTCTCCACCACTTCTGTAGGTCGATCAGACTGAATTCGACTTGCACGTGTTAATTTAATTTCCAGGTTACCGTCATCCCTTCCAGAATACCAATCAACGCATCTTTGCGATCCTCATCAGTATCCTCTGAGTCCAAAACCCCCGTGACATAGCTTCCAAACACATCCTCGTCCAACCCCAGCTGTCTCATGCGACAGCTTAGCCACTCTTCAAACGACTCTTCTTGTTGGGAACTCGACAGCCCATCCGCCATTTTGATTTCTTGATGATTTAGATACCGCTGTACATTTGATACCGGCTTTTCATAAGCGATCTTTTAGCCTGTCTGGGGAGGGGTAGAGCTTTATTCTAAGACTAAAAGACGCTGCGTGCTGGACATGCTGCTTATAATCTATTTGTGTCTTCTGATACAAGAAAGATTCGCGGATTATCTATCATTCTCTATGTACTGAAACATGTTCTGCCAAGAATTCTTAAATTGAAAAGACTGTCTTTGCATTTGCTGACAAATAACTCGTATATTGATTTTCTTAGCAGGGCGGGAGGTGATTGGGGGAAGTGGACTTGTGTGAAAATCTTTTTATTCCAGACTGATAATAATCAGTTTATTAAAAGCTTGTCTCGCTTCTGGTAGATGTTACTGGCAACTTAGTCTCCTACACACACGTTCTTACAGCTTGTCACGCAATCTTTACTCCTGCCCTTCACTGGGGTGGCAGATTGTGCCCAGAGCCCCAAGAATATCTACATGGCAGTGTCATGATGTTACAATCTGCTATTAAACCAGTTTATACAAGATAACCTTTGTTATGCTTAGGATTCATCTATGCCTTAGTTTTATTGCAGATGATGTTTCTGTTCACCCTGTTTAACAACTGCAACCTAGTTTAGAATCTCTCTTTATCCAGTTTATTTGTCACAGATTAACTTGAAATTATTCAAGCGTGCTTCCATGGTAAAGGGGTAGGGGGGGGGGGAGTGAAAATTTTCTGGACTAACATATTCCATCCTGAAGTTTACTTGATTCAAGGTAATGTTACTTTGAATAGTTTTTGTCACTACTTAAAGGTCATTCATCAATCAAATGACACTTTTTGTCCAAATAGCTGACATCAGAGTTTTAACACACAGTTTTAGCTATGAATAATAACGTCCCACTGATGGACGAGCTCTTTCTGGGCTCAGATAGATTCCATATCCATGCAGATCTATATCTTGCAATCTCTTGCTGTTCTTTGCTAGAGTTTCATTTCATAACAACTTCTCTCTCAGCTTACTCGCGGAAAATTTTCATTTCATGTTCAACTGAGATGAGAATCCAGATGTTATGTTTTTGCTGTCTCACATTGGCTCAGTTTGGACGACAAACCAAACGATTATGTTAAGACGACTGTTTCACAGGCATTTCATCCCCTGGAATTTGCCAGAACCCAGACCCATGCAGACGCATCACAGCCGAGACCCAACAGAAAAATCCACAGCGGAATAAAGACCACGTAGTAAGACGCACCAATGATATTCTCAAGTCTGCAACACAGTATAATAATAAAAGTAAGCTTTGCGGCAACCATGAACAAAAACCAGACTTTTCTTGCTATGGTGAACCGGTTCGGATCTACGCCATCTTTGAGGTGTCGAAAGATACGAAGTAAAATGTAAAAAATCACAAAACAGTCAAATATCAGAAGTGGAATAAAGATGATGAACCAAAACCAATCTGTTTCTTTATCCAAACGAATTACTAAGAAGATCAGAAAGAGAAGAACTACGCTCCATACACCAAGCACTCTGTAAAATGGAGTGTTCGCCATGTTTCGGTTCTTCTTAATCTGATGGTACACTCTATGATTTTCTTCACAACGTATAAAGGGCGTTTTACCATACCGCTAGTTATAGGGATCGCGGGCAATAACTTTTGGCGGGATGGCGCCACGTACGTGAATACAGCGATCAGCTGATAATTGTTAATTTCGTTGCTGGGCCTTATAATGTTTAATATGCGCAATAGACGTTATCGTCATTGGGAATGTGATCATTTGTAAAGTGTAAATAATTAAGAGGAGACTTCCATTCTGTGATCACATGTCGCGTAATTAACAGATCACAATGGAGAATTTAGCACAACAGGTTGAAGAAATTGAAGCTTTATCAGCGATTTATGGTCAAGATTTTGTGGTGATCGATGAAGCTAACAGGATCTACGAGGTCCGCGTTTGCCATGAAAATGACTCCTGGTGGTCGGCTACTCTTCAAGTTCTATTACCCCTGGAATACCCGGCTAGAGTTCCCCCCGTTTTTGAAATTCACTCTGCTTGGATGAACGATGCAGAGATGTTCGAATCATCAGACTTGCTGCACACAATCTACCGAGAGAATCAAGGACAGATTGTGTTATACCAGTGGGTCGAGGCACTGAGAACATTCATTGATGCAAAATTCAACGATCGAGAACAGCCTAATGTCGAGCAAGTGAACAATGATGTTTCCATAACGTGTTATGGTTAGCAATTTATAAAATAAGTAAACTTACGAACGTTTTTTTTTTTTGCACTAATTTAATGTGATCGTTCAAGTCGATGAATATCAAAGATAAATAGTTAGATGATGCAATCTAATTAGCCAATTCATGCACGAACAAAGCAGATAGAAATAATTTCTGAAATTTTCCATATTATTACTAATTTTGGTCTTTGGTGTAAATCTAAATTATAGATCACGCATAAACGCATCAAGGTATAAATTTTCAAGCCAGAAGTGTGTCAGCTCTTGTTCGCCAATTAAAACCAATGAAACTTATTTGGGCTTCTTGAAATATGCATAAAGAATACTTCAATCGTGATTCATAGAATGGTTTTTCACTATTACGCTGTGACCAGCAGTAATGGCTTTTGCTTCTGCTTTCTCCTACTTCATTATTTAGATGATGAAGAAAAATCATCAGAAGAAGAGAAACATGATGAATGTGAAGAGCTATCAGCAACTGTCAGCAGTGATGGTTTACAAGACTCAACCACGTCAAATGCTTTGAAGATATTTAGGAGTTCAGAGTCAGACTCGTGTCCAGAGATTCTTCATGGAGAACCATTCACAGACAGAAAAAGTACTTTTCAAGCCCACCTTGCTCATGTAGTAACATCAGATCAAGTCAAACAAGTTCTGGAAGAACTAAAGAAAAACCGTAAAGTAAACAATGCTACTCACAATGTTATGGCATACAGAATTTTTTGCGAGAACCGCAACTCTTTTCTCCAGGACTGTGACGACGATGGTGAAGCAGCAGCTGGGTCAAGACTTCTTCATCTTTTACAAATACTTAACATAAAGAATATTATTATTATAGTAACGCGCTGGTATGGAGGAATCCTTCTGGGCCCTGACAGATTTAAACATTACAATAACTGTGCGAGGGGATTATTGAAAGTTGCTGGTCTTGTAGAAATTAGCCCTGATTTGAAAGATTCTAAAAGTAAAAGCAGATTTAAGATCAAAAAACATTAAATTCATTAGCTGCTTTGAAGATTATTAAATTTGGTGTGATATATGAGCAACAATAGATACCAGTTGAGTTAGGACAAGGAAACCAGTACAAGAAACCAATAATGTTGCATGGTGGCATCAGTACACCTTTGAGACTTTAAATTTGTTAGCATTTTAATTTTTCTGTACTGCAGGCAGTGCCAATGAATATATTAATAACACAATTTGACTAATTAAATATAGACTACGATTAGTCCCTCTTTCACCTAGTCCACTGTGCGTGAGGTGAAAGAAAACCACAAGACAAAATGGCAGCACAAACTCCTGGGAGTGAGAAGCACACGCGTCTCACCCCCGGGATTTCACACGGTCATTGTTTTCCTTGCAGCTCATTTAGTCCAGCTTGATGGACTAAGCGAAAGAAGGACTACTTGTTGTCTAGTTAAACAAGCAGGTATGAATTTTCTTATTTAGACTGTTTGCATTTTCAGTGTACTTCTCAGATGTACTGGCCATTTTTTCATCCCATTTTCTATGTCAGAAAAATTGTTACCCTTTGAAAAGTAATATTTCTGTCTGGACCTTCATCTGGTCAGTAACAACTTTTTTTACATCGTCATGACTAAGTTAGCTCAGAGGGTCAACAATTAGAATCTGCAATCAGATTGCTCCGTTGGCAAAGTAATATTTTTTTGAATAAGACCAGGCAATGTCCCATACAATATTGTAATTTATGGCTTACGTTTCTAAAAGAATTACTTTATGTTAAAACAGTTTTTCTTCATTTCTTCCAATTCATTTTCCCTCCTTTTTGTTTGTTTTTTTTTCAAAAATGTCAGACTTAAGTAAATGTCAAGTGTTGGTGTGCATTTACCTTGCCTTTTTTTACCATACTCATGTGCTCATTGGCTAATTTTTGTTGTCAACAAGTAGACAGACACATGAATTAAAAATTTATGCAATGCATCAATGATCAAGAGCGGACAATTTGACAATTTGTTATCGTAAAAAACAAATTGATGTCAGTTTTTCATGCGTCTGCCCTGTTATTGACAATGAATTTCGTCATAGCATTGTCAAAGTAGTCTGTGATGCACTCAGCCATTACCTCATGGATCTGCAGACTACTTTGACAATGTTATGATGAATTCATGATCAATAACAGGACAGACGTGTGAAAAACAGATGTCAATATGACTGTGGGGTTTTTCTTGATATTTTCAGCTTAGTAATAATTCATTTATTGACCAAGCTTGAAATGGACTATACTGAGAAAATATCAGTATTTGTCACTTCTGTATGGACCTTGCTGTGCTCAGTTCATACTGTCCATACTGTCACCCTATTCCTCAGTATGGCAGATGGAAGAATATACCATAAAAAAACAACATAATTTGTAACACTTGAGAAAATGTTGTGACTTTTGAAATAAAAGAAATCTGGAAAGTTATAAAACTGTTCTCTCCCAGATCACTTGGCTGGAAAAAAAACTTTCATACTGTCCTTGCGCATTTCCCAGTTAAGTCACGGTGTAAGTGTTATTTTTTTAAGAAAAATCAACCAAATGCTTTCATGGTCTGCACTCGTATAGACCACAGAAATCGCCCCATAAAATGTCCAGAACTTCCTATGTTTGCTTGCAGTGCTAATTTCAATGGTTTACAAGAGTAAATTTGCCAATAAAGAAATGTACTCTTATAGTGCCTTATCAAGTTGTTCTAAAAATTTATTATTTAGAACAACTTGATAAGGCACAATAAAATATTATTGATACAGAAACTGTCATAACTTAAACAAGCCGAGCCTAAATTGCAACCGAGTATCTCTTTATTTGACTATTAAACCAGAAAAGTGTTAGTCAAAAGATAGAGAAGGATATAGCGGTATATCATAAGAGTATAATAGAAACTTGGAGCAAAGATTCTAGCTTGATTTTTCATAAAATGAACTGAAGAGAGAACAAAAACAAAAGAACCTGTAAAGATCTCCTAAACAGCCTTTACAAAAACTTTAATGCTACAGTACCACAGAAAATTATAAAATTAAGTGTGAAAAACAGAAAAGAGAAGTTTTATGCTGACCTAAACTTATTAATAATTATAATTGTTCTCCTGTTTGTCCAGTTATAAACACTAATAGAAAAATAACATCCTACTAATGTACATCAGTTTGTAAATACAAAATTCTTGCCATTCGTTTCTCTAAACTATAATTTATTACTGTATTATTAATAATTTTTCCCTTTGGTCTTAACTGGATTCCCATTTGGTGGAATCTCTTGGAAAACAATTCCTGAGGGAGATTCCCCTGAGAATTACTGCTGCTGACCATTCTGGCTCTGTGAATGTACTGGAAAGCACAAATTAACTGAACTATGCTGAAGCCAAAATAATATTTTATCACTGAGGAACATTTAAATTGCTATGTGCCTTTGGTTTTATAATTTTTACAAACATAGCACTTAAAACCTGAATATTCATGCCATAAAGTAACTTAAGAAATGACATACTAGATCAATATTTAGCTACATGTACATATACATCTAAGATTTTGTTCTAAGAGTTTAAGTTTTGGACAGAAGATATCAGAGTCAGTTGATTCCTTATTATGTCAGACTCAGCCTTTGGACTCTAAAATATTGATTAAGAACTGTATTCTTTGGACAGCAGACTTTCGAGCCACTCGTACGTCTTCTAATCCATCAGTCTGTACTTTATCAAGATCCAAAATTAATTTGGTCAGCTGCTCATCTAAAAATGTAAATTCTCTGTCACCTATGGAAAAAAAATCAATCAATCAAATATTAAACTGAGTAATATACGAAATATTAAATGTAGAAATAGCATCAGCTCAGAAAAAATCCGAGTTCCAGATGGGATTTGAATCACAACCTTCTGTGATCAAGCCAGATGCTTTAACCACAGAACTACTGGAGACTCTCCGGTGAGCAAGGATGAAATATGGGTCTTTGACTGGAACCGCATTGCGCCGTCACACACCCAAATCACTATTTCTACATTTAATTCAAGAAAAGTTATAAATTAGCATTATGTCATTTGCATAATCTTACATAATTGTGGAACTCTTGTAAATTGTGGAGCTGTGAAATTCAAGTCCTACTGTGAGAAGAATCAATGAACTTTATGAATCTTTGGAGTTCAAGGTTTAACTCTTATTCCAGTTAGTTACTACATAAATTTATAAAATGCCCCAATTTTTTTCCTGAGAATGACCACCTTGTAAACAATAACCAATTAAAAATAAATCTGAAAAAAGGGGAAAAACGCAATCAACTGTACCAAAGTTACCATGGCAACTGCTACATCTACTAGTAATAATTCTTAGAGCAAAAAATTGAAAAAAAAAAAGCTCATCAAGGACACGGAAAACTTCAAAAACACTTCAAATCTAGCATACACACAATGGGTTTAGTTCAGGGATGTATTTTGGAAAAACATAGATTTCTGTGATATATTTGTGCCTATTGGCTGCGTGATGTTCCCAAGCAATTACAATAAAATGTATAGCTATCATGTCTTTTTCTGCATCCATGGTGGATTGTGAAGTTCTTCTAAGCACTAAAAAAAAATGCAAACTGAAATTCAACTGACCTCTTCTTCCAGAAAATGCCAAGACCTTTGGTTCCAATTCCTCAGCACGACAAAGCAGCATATCAATAGAATTAATTTTCGCATCTGAGGAAGGCGATCTACGAGCTACATATTGACTTCTAGGATCAGCTGGACCTGGCTGGTTGTAATTGTGTCCATAAGCTTGTGAAGGGGGCTGAACATAAGGTTGTCTGTGTTGCATTGCTGGCTGTTGTCCTGGAATTGTGTATCCTGCACTACTTGGATATGAGCCAGCATGGTGACCAGAGGGTGGGTTCTGGGGTTGTGGCTGTCGACTCATTGATTGTTCAGATCCATATGACACTGGTTGAGTACCCTGGTATGGACTAGTCATGTGACCTGAAACTGACGATGGCACCGGGCTGGCAAATGGGGGTGTCCAATGGGTTGCCTGTGGTGGAGTGGGTGGAGTGTAAGAAGGTGCTCTTATCTCTGTTGTTTGTTGATTATGCCCTTGCGCCATGTTAGCTGAAAATGTCTGTAAAGGGTGTCCAGCAACAGGATATGGCACAGTCCCTTGGTTTTCTGGTTTCACTGCCCTGCTTCCTGGCATATGCTGTGCTTGAGGTGGAGTGTAATAGCTAGGTTGGTATGGATATTGATTAGGGGGTGGGACCCCAAGTGGCTGTGGCACAGGAGAAGGTGGTATTCCATGCTGCTGTTGTGAAGCAGTTGCACCAACTGAAGCCGGCATCGGCATTTTGTTTTGAATATCAGGAGGCTGTCCTGGGTTCTGATATGACTGATAACCTGCTTGGCCTGGTGGTTGGTAATATGACTGACCAGTAGGAGGCTGCGGTGGACCCAGGTTGGGACTCTGAGGTGGTGCTTGATATGCCTGATGTGCCGGCATCTGAGTAGGCACCTGGTAGGGTTGACCAGCAGCTGAGGCTGGAGTCGGGTATACCTGACTTGCATGTTGCGGTGGCACACGCATAGGCTGGCCAGGAAGTGATTTAGTGTCCGGGTGTAATTGGCCAGGTTTTGAAGATGGTAGTTGATAACCCTGCTCAGGGTTTGATGACAGGGTTTGGTATGGCTGGCCTGGATGTGAAACTGGTACTTGATAAGGTTGACCTGATGCTGGTGATTGGTGAAGACCACTGACAGGCTTTGGCATCATACCTTGGTAAGATCCAACTGAGGCTGGATTTGTCGGTGGCACCTGATATGCCTGGCTTGTGTTTTGGGGCAGGATTTGGTAGCCTTGGTTAGGGGTTGGCATTGCATTCTGATATGGTTGGCCAGATGATGACCCTGAAGTCTGCAATGATTGAGCTGGAATCATGGGTTGCACCTCATAAGGTTGGCCAGGGTTAGAGTTCAGAGCTGAATTAAGCTGTCTCCCAGGAGCCATTTGGTTTGACTGACCAGGTGGGACTTGGTTCAACTGGCCACTAGGCATTGAGTAAGTTGCACCAAGATTTGGCATTGGGTACGCTTGTCCTGGATTAGGTGGAGGCATTGGGAAAGGTTGACCTGGAATTGGTGCTGGAGTCTGATATTGTTGATTGGCATTTGCCGATGGCATCTGGAATGCTTGGGCTGAACTCTGATTTTCCACATGTCCACCAGGTGCCTATCAAACAGAAAAACATGATAAGTAATCTTTCTACCATTCAATGATTATTAGCCGGCATAGCAGGAGAAACAGGAATGGAAAGGAAGAGAGAGTAGTAGAAAGTAGAAAGGTGACATGCTTTTTTGTTAAATTCTCACCTTACTTATCTAACACATTTGTTAGAAAAAATTAATGAGTAAATTAATATCAGATGTTAAAATCTTGAGCATACATGTCACTTTACAATTTATAAGGACTGACTAGATTTACCTTTAAGCTAAGAGATCTTAATGGTGCAATCAGACTACCCTGCTGCCCACAGGTCAGACCTGGGTTCATAGGCATGGCCTGTGGTGAACTATAACTTGGTAACATCATAGTTGCGTCCTTAAGGGGGAACTGCTTGTTTCCAGTGGTCACAGATTTGAATGAGGACAGTTCAGGACTATGCCATTTTCTCTCCTGTTCAGATCTCGGAGAATTTATCACTTGCTGTTGTGATGGAATGGGTGTGTTTTGGGTTTCATGAGATTGTTCTGACTGCCTAACACCCACACTGCTGGCTGGCCACCTTGGATTAGATGAAAACTGGGGAGTGATCATCGCTTGGAACAAGGGAACATGGTGTGGACCTTGGTACCCAGGACTGAAGATTTTTGGATTTGAGGTGCCATCTAATTCAAAACTACTGTGAAGCTGTGAGGGCCCTGGTGAGTTGATGACAGCCAGTTTACTTTCATTCCAGGGTGGTACTAGTGCCATGCCAGCAGTGTGATTTTGTGTGTTTCCTTGAAAAACCTATCAATGACATAAAATAATATAACATGCTTGAAATATTGAGCTTGGCATGTTAAAAGCACAATGCCTCAAATGGCTCAGCTTACATAATTTTTTTCCTTTAAACATATACAACTGTGTCAAGAAAGGCTGCCCAAAAAAATGTGTTACCGCTATACTGGTAGCATAACATAGCTTCGTCAAAGCTAACGGCATGTGAGCATGATTGACAGAGAGAGCAATGGTTACCCTTTCATTTGTGCTCAAACACCATGACCTTCAATGAAGCACGGTAATCTTATGCTGGCCCTAATACCTTTTGGCAATGTTGGTTATATTTTAACACTTTTGTAGGGCAACCTTGCAACGTAGACAACAGCAAATTAAGTACATGTCAAAAAAAGTCTGAATACAGTGTACATTTCAATGTTACTCTTATTCTAAAAGTCAGAAAAAGGTGTACAAATTTAACCAGAGTAGAGTAACTCACTTTTTCAGGAGTGTTACGAGGTTTAAACTGCGTTAACTAAATTCATGAAGTTTTGCATGTCTTTCTGTTATGCAGATTGATTAAGCTTAATTAAAATGCGGCATAAAATTTAAAGCACGCCATGTATAAAAATAAACTGAATATTAATACGTATGATTCTCGTCCGTTTCAGGCCTGCAAAAATATCTTCAGTTAAACCAGGTGTTTTGCACTCCCTTCCTTACAGTCAGACTTGAATATCATCGGCATTATTAACGCTCTTAGGTAAGCTTAACATTGGTACAAGCTATGAAAATCGATCAAGGATAGTAGTTACATGTAGCGAGTGTTGATATCAGTGTTGATCTGTTTAAAATAAAATACAAAGGTTTTCAAGTGTCTTCACTCTTCCAAAGCATTTCTAACACATAAAGGAAAAAACTGATCTTACCGAATAAAGCTTCTGCGTCCTCGGATCTTCCCAAGAAGTCGTTCTTGTTTTGTGATCGATAAAGAACGGCCTACCAGAACCTGGGTCTACTTTCATCTCCCAACCTTGAGGGAGAGGCGGAAAGCCTGGCGTACAACCTTGATACGTTTCCATTTGATGGAACAGACCACTTAAGCACCTCGGAGTCTATATAGTTACTTCAGATTACGACAAGAAAGGTAAACGAGTCGGTCTGTGTACAGCACTTACCAACGTCACTAACATATCCGCCATTACAGGGTGTCGACCGCAGGGTATCATGGGCCTGCAAGCTAGGCATGCAAAAGATGCGTAGCTTTTTCCGCATAGTTTTCCGGCCTGGCTGAACAGTCGATTTGGGTATTTTTAACCGTGATACAGTGCTAGTGGAACATAACCCCCGTAACCCCCGTTAGACTCGTTAGCTGTACTAGAGGGGTGGCCGTATAATAAAGGAGATCTTCCTGTCTATACAGCTCAAGCGGGGGTAGGGGGATGGGGTGGTGCTCCCTTTAACATATGGGGTATGCGCGAATGCGGCCCCAATGAGGGGTATGGTTTTCCTGCTGTTTAATTTTAGGGTACCGATTTTGGTCATTTTGGTCTCAAATAGTTTATGTTTTTTGCACTCTAGCGACTGGGTACATGGGTATGTTTTTTAGAAGAAGCTACATTTTTATCGTTATCGATAGCGACGGAAATCGAGCCTATAGTAACTGACCATCAACAAATACAACGGTCCTTCACGGACTTCACAATGCCTTTACCGTTGGTACGAACGGGGAAATTAATCATAAGCAGACTCCTGTCATAAGGCAAAAAAAAAAAAAAAAAAAAATCAAGAAACTAGTTTGAGTTACACCATGGCTAAATGTACTGTGCACAAAACACGAGTTTAAGCAAGAGAATCTGGGACATCTCAAAAAGCATCGATCGATCTCACGGAATTGAGAGTTTTCGATCGAGTTTCAGAGTGTTAGATAATATGAGATTACAAACTTTGGACCTTTTGGAATCTTAAATAAGGTGCTTTGACTTTAAATGCAAGTTTTTCTTGCAACAAAGGCAAGCAAATGGAAGAAAACGAGACTACTCAAAAACACTACACGGACCAGTTTCCAACATGTCGTCTCGGATTGGCGCCAAAATTCTCATCTTACCTCGTCCTCGTTGAACGGATCTTCCTCTGTTATACTGGTAGTAGAAGTATTTTCAGCCATGCTTATTAAGGTTTGTCTCAAGTAATAAATTCAGATATCTTGCATGTTGTTGTGCATTTCGTTGTCGACTGACTTCTCGTCTCTTGGCCGCCTGGATTTTGGGCAGCTGTCATGACAACCAAAATGTTTACGACCAAAACGGCGGGGGTCTGGGTCTCGACTTTCAGCCGTTTTGCGAGACCGCGTTCCTTGCCGCACAAGTCGTGGGTTTTCGCGTTGCGCGAGTTTCTTACGGCAGCCCAGAAGGGTCATCTACCATTTTTATTTTTTTAATGTTCGTTTTAATTTTTGTTTTAATTTTCGTTTTTTTGTTTCCGTTTTTGTTTTTTGTCTTTTAATTTTTGTTTTCGTTTTTGTTTTGTTAATTTTGTGTTTGTTTTGGTTTTTAATTATTATTTTTGTTTCCGTTTTAATTTTGTTTCTTAAATTTTTGTTTTTGTTTTGTTTTTGTTTTTCACTGTCATTTTTTTTTTCTGTTAAAAAAAAAAGAAATAAAAACGCAAACAAAAACAAACAAAAAGAAAAAAAAACAAAAAACAAAAAGGCCAAAACGAAATCAGTGAGTGTAGACCATCATGCTTTGCTGGCAGTATTCATGACATGACCGTTGTGTGATCTTTTGGCCGTCAAGCGGAGTCACACATCGGTTACCATAAACTCTACGGCCATTTCATTGCTCGTCTATTGGGAGAAGAATATAGCAAGTACAAAGGTCACAAAGATTTCAAGTAAAGTCAAGGATATTTCTTCGTCAACTTTTTTAACGAATGTAATCTTAAGCTCTCACAACGAACTAATTATTCCACGCGCTCTTTTTGTAAGACTTGCCTCATTTGTTTTGAAAGTCTGGCTACGGCCCTAAACTNAAAAAAAAAAAAAAAAAAAAGAATAGCAGAAAATAGCAGATTTTGGTCTTTTAAAAAGGAGCTTGGGATGTGCGTCGCATTTCCCCAGCCAGAGTTTCTGGGAGTTTCCCTCAGGGCTATACAGGTCCTTGAAATGTAGATGCTGATTCTGACTTCACAAATTTGTTAAACAAAAGTAGCAACCAAGAGCTAATTTTCCGGACCGACTCAGTAGTGCGGATCGAATAATAAAGTAGCAAAGAGGAAAAGAGGACGAAATAAAAAAGCGATAACTGAGGTTTCTATTTTTTCCATACATTTGTCTGTAAAGCTTAGTTGCAATTCGCGGGAAAACTTAGAGACAGTGGCATGAAAAATTAAACAGGGACCCCGGTGGAGGGTGGGGGGTGGGGGGCGGTAGGGGTGGCTTGCAGGGAAATAGCCCTACCTTTGTTTTGCATGGATTGATTTTTTAGGGCTCCAGATGACATGGAAAATGGCCTGCAAATGCGTGATTAAATGTGGGAACAGTGACTCCTAATGCTTCTTTGTCTTGGCCAGATATTTTAGCCCTATCACTTTGGCCGCGTTCGCCCCCCAAATCCAAGATGGTATCCGGAAACCGGCATGGAAGCCTTCAGAGCCGCTTTTCAGTTTCACCCTCCCCCTGATGCGGGTCAATGCGCAATTGTGCAAAGAGCCATTTGATTCTTCTCGAAATAGTTCGGATGCTTTAAAAATGGTTGTGAGGAGTATGGGTTGTTTATATACCTGCTCGTTTGAAATGACGTCATACCTCTTCCCAGCCAGGAAAATTTTATAGTCCAAGGTTCATAGCGCGTTGTACCCGAGGGGTAGAACAGCTCCTCCCACGTGCNAATGACGTCATACCTCTTCCCAGCCAGGAAAATTTTATAGTCCAAGGTTCATAGCGCGTTGTACCCGAGGGGTAGAACAGCTCCTCCCACGTGCTGCGGGCACATAAAGATCGACTGTTTGCTGACAGATCTCTTTCCCATCACTCATTTGGTGGAGTAGAATCTGTTTCATCGGTGTTATCCATGTGTTAATAATATTTTCACGGGATGGTACCAAACTAACTACCTGGCCAGTCATCTGGGAAGCCTGGACCAACCTGAGATCTAGAATACAACTTTTGCTATTTGGCTTTGTTCGAAATAACAGCGTTCAGAGCTTCCTGCAGAAAACTACGAAAGAAAAACGGCTATTTTAAAGACCATTGTGAATGCTGTAAGCTGCGCGCTATAACAGAGTATAACACTGCAGCTTGAGTAAAAGCCACAATGTTGGAACCACAAGACCCTGACCTTTTGTGGATTGTTATCGTTGGGTTTCTTGTCGCTTTCGTGTTGGCCTTTGGTATTGGGGCAAACGATGTAGCGAATTCCTTTGGAACTTCAGTTGGAGCGAAAGTCTTAACTCTTCGTCAAGCTTGTGTTATTGCAACCATCTTTGA